GTCCGTATCGCGAAAAGGACGGACAGGTTCTTTAGTACACGTATCGAAATTTTTACATGGGGGTGCGCACCCACTTCGTCGTTTGAATGTGGTGTCGACGATGAGTCTATTTTAAGCCCGTTTTTGACGTTTGCCAGAAAACGGAAGGCTTCGATGCGTGAGTGACACTATTGATTGCGCAAAGGGGACGGTATTCGGGAATCTCAGGGCGCAAATTTTGCGTTGATGGATACCCTCAGATGGGCTCACCCATGATTCCATCCATCAGCTCATTTGAACCGCCTCGGAATATTCGGGCGACTCTCGCAATCGAAACACCTGCCTCTTTTCCCTCATGTAACCAAAATTACAAGACAGGAAAAACAACTCCAAACCACGAACTATCTCCGACTCAAAACGATTTTCCCTCCACCCCCGGTTTATACAACTATCCAGCAAAAACCACTAAACCCACACATCCGTCGACATCTTGTTTAAAAACCGGGGCTCGTAACTCGTAAATCGTAACACATCTGGGCGTATGCCTAAAGGCCCTTTATCCCGAAGCCCAAGGGTCCCTCCTCGTCAGTCATGATGAGATGATGCATGGTTTCTGTATGTATGCACTACATCATTCAGAACAGGGTGCATGAACCAAACGCCCTCGGTACCTACATCATTAGCATCATTGGCAACGGGTCGCTTGCCTTAGCTCGCGTAGGGGTCGGAGGAGACGAGAGACGTCAAGGGGAGGGGCGTTGGGCTATGAAGCCCAGGTGGGTTTTGCGTAGGACAGGCTCAAGATGAGGAATGGTGGGCTGATGTGCTGGCTATGATGACAATGACGCTGGTGAAAAAGCCGTATCTGATAACAATGCAGCTTGGTTGACATTAATAGTGTTTAGAGATACCACCTCATCATGATACATACAGCCTTGACGCAATGCCCTCCCTCCCATATCTCATATCCTAATACAGTTTGATAAACGCCTAGTTGCTTCATCCCTCCTAAATGCTTCCCTCTATCGTGTACGTTGTGGCCATATGGCACTGCCATCTGTGTCACTCCCTTATGTGAAATGTGTAGACATTGTTTTAGCCCTCCATCTTGACATCACTCTCCTTGCCAAGGTTTTTTAGTAGATAGCTTCGCTTAAAGTACTCATTGGGATGCACAATTGTCTCAAGTTGATTAGATGTCATGACACCCTCATCCTTTGCCTTTTTAATCTCGGCCTTGTGTAAGTGTTCAAACACGCTGGGTAATCGAGTTAGCTATCCGTAATAGTTGCAAAGCGTATTATTGGAATATAAACTCCAACTATAGGAACAGAGCCAGACAACTTACCGGTTGCATGCCATGTGAAACTTTTGATTATCCTTGTCTTCCTTGACACCCTGCAACACCGATCTATCGGATACTCCCATGGCTTGTACCAAAGAAGTCAAGTTCTCCAGGTTGAAATGCCGGTATGGGCATCCGTGAGCCTCGCCAGGCCCCGGAGGATGCTCAGTGAGAATCTTCTGACAACTAAACGGGCTACAGCCACCGCCTCGTCGATTCGTATCGCCACCAACGTCTCCGTATGCGTGGCGGATGTTGTATCGGTATTCCTTGTTGAATGTGTCATCCGTTACCTTGTGAAAGGCGCCCCGCCAAAACGCGAGACACTCTTCCAGATTCAAGCCGATGCCCTTGAGGAACAGTGTGTACTGAAGACGACCGTAGTGTTTAAGATGAGCGTCGCGACGCAACGACCGATGCAAGTTGGACATGCACGCGGGGAAATGCTGCGAAAGATTGTCAATGTTGGCGGCCGAGATTTGCGCTCCAGTGGGTGCCGTCGACCCAGACATGTAAGCCGAGTCGGGCGTAATGAAGTTTTTGGAGAGGTGGTTCAGGATGGGCGTCAGCCGGTCATCTTCGTCAAGTCGTGGCAGCGCCCGGGCTGTGAGCTGGTCATTGGTAACTGTGTTAGCTAGATGAAAATGAAATCTGCATCGGACACACAAGTACGGCACTCACCTCTAGTTGTCTCTCAAGCCGGCTCGTAAATTCTGCCACCACCATGCTTGATTGCTCTCGCCCGGGAACATATGCCTTTCCGGCTTTCAAGAATACCTTTCGACTCTCCACCAGGTCGGGCACTCGCTCCCAGTCCACCTTGAACCATGTCTCAACCTCACTGCTCCCTCTTTTCCCGCCCGCCATGGCTGCTAGTTCGGCGCCATACCGCATCTTCTCGTCCTCTGTCACAGGCTCCCACCAGTCGAGGTCCAAGTCGGATACGAATGCAGACCGCTCGTTCAAATCGTCGCTGTTGAATCTCATTCGGAATAGCATCGTCTCGACACGGGAAAATCTCCGGCGCAGGTCTTCGGTTGAAGAGAAGGCCAACCTCAAGATGAAGTGACTGTAGTGGTCTTTTTGTCGTTGCGAAGCGAGCTTTGTGTTGCTAGAGCTGTTGGAGTCGAGGGGGAGGTATTTGTCGAGAATGGGCTTCATGTGGGATGCCGTTTCGGTGGGCGATCGGTTGCGAAACGAGCAGGCCTCAAGCTCGGCCAGAACTGTGCAGTGTCAGATTTCGAATATTGCTTTGGAAGGATAGTAGCCTCGAATTACCTCGTAGTCGGTCAATGGCCCATTGCTCAAACTGCTCGAGTGTAATATCTGCCGTCGGTGCATCTGCGTAAAAGTTCAAGCGATGGGGATACTGAGTATCCTGGAATTGGGGCGTAGCAAACTGCTTTTTCCGGTAATCGACGACATTTCGCCTCTTGGGGTCGATTCTGTTGTAATCCTGCCGCATCATGATTGCTGGCTGTGTTTGAAGCTGAACCTGATGCCGTCGATATGGATTTTTGGCGGTTGAGGTTGGCGGAAGTGTGGAGGGACGCGACTTGACGCGTTGAGACGTGGGGCACGGCTCGAATCAATTAAAACCCATGGTGCCGGTACTTTTCTAGCACTACGAATGGCGCTATGCACTAGGTACCTGTACCTTGCATCACCAACACCAAAACTTTTAGGTATCCCATCTTCCAAGGCAGCTTAGAGCTCAAATGACTACTAGGTAATTCGTGTTGCAGTAAATACCTGGGCATTAATTTCCTCGGGATATAATTGAATAAGTACTAATGCACTAGCATTGTCTGTTCGAATATCCATTCGGCTGCTTACATGTTTGGAGTTGTGTGTAGGTACTTAGGATAGCTTGATAATTTTGTTCAACTTTAGCAAGAGCATCAACTCTCCCAAATCTCTCTCGCGTGGTCATGCGTCACTGTCCCACTGCTTTATCATTTTGAATCTGACGTACAAGTCCTTGTCTGTCACAGCCAAGCATTGGGATTCACTGCTGATGACATGGATGCTTGCGGCTCGCTAATTGGACTCCGAATCACCTTTTCCTTGCCAGTAATATCGCTTGGCTATCACAACTGGGCAATTTGGCATTGGCCTTTTGATCGAATGACCAAAAAGCATCAACGCAGAGTCACGGGCACGCATTCGCTTACCCAAAGAGGGAAGCCGGACGGAAATGCCACAGAGGCAAAAAGAAGACGAAACAAAAAAGAAATTGATTCCCCTTGCGTGGAATTGGAATCGATCTCGTGACCGAGACAGGGGTCGAACCTGCAACCTCCTGATGTACTTGATCGTAGTCAGACGCTCTGCCATTGAGCCACACGGCCTTTGAACTGTGGCTGAGGAGCAGGGATAATTGGTACAAGAATGTTTCGAGCGTGGAATTGGCAAAGGTAAAAGCAAGCTCAACAAATGTAAAAAGAAAATGCGACATGTCACCGCATTCCAATCCAACTACGAATTGAAACAGGATGACTTGTATCATTGACCGAGACAGGGGTCGAACCTGCAACCTCCTGATGTACTTAATCGTAGTCAGACGCTCTGCCATTGAGCCACACGGCCGGGATCTTGTCACGTGGAGATAGCATGCTAAAGTGGCCCATAGAGCAGATGAGATGAGATGAGCGGCCACTATCCAGAAAGTATTGAACGCTATTAGCCCGGTCATTCTGTATTTGTATTTGATGGTATATTTCAGACCCCGCTTTTCCACAGTCCACTTGTTCGCCAGAGCCGATGCACGTTGTGGCTCTTGGGCGCGGATGACGTTATGGTGATAAGCTGGGGGACTTTGTATCAGAGCATCACATGCCCCATGAGTCGATGATGGGGTTTTCTGCCTTCTGTTCTAGGCCTGTTTGCCCTGTACTTCGGGGGTTTCCCGCCTGTGGACGCAATAATAACCGCTAGTACCACCAGACGGGAAAACAAACATCACCAGACGGAACCAAATTTGCTGGAATGGGCCTGAGGTTGCAGCACCTCTGCTGTTAGTGGTAGCTGAGTGCTTATTTAGTACCGCTAATAGCAGCTCCGTCGTACCCAGTACTTTATGTAACGTACCGCCCGGCCTGTTTCGGGCTAGCGCAGGCCTTGTAGCCCCCGGTATCTCCCACCCTGTGGTCGCCCTACGGCTGCTGGTGGGGACCGAGTCGCTGTTGTACCTGCTACACGCTGCTGTACATGAACAGGGAGCAGACCCGCAGGCATGTCATGCGCTTCGCTTGTACCCGGAACGTCGTCCTTGGATCGGACACCACCAACGTCGTTGCACTGACTCCTTCGCGACAACAGAAATCTCGACTCGCAACGCTCTGCCTCTCCTCTCGGCCCGTCGTCCGCCAATCCTCCGCCGCAACGGCATCGCGCAGAAGCCCTAGATGTCCCCGTTCTAGGCGAGCGCAGCTCTTGATTTGCCCTGCCAAACCCCTCACTTCGCGACGGCTCTCCCTCGCGACGCCCTTGCCTTGCGAAGCACCGCGTGCCTCTTCTTCGTCCCTGTTCCGCTGCTCCCTGCAGAGCATACGCCTCGCCGCCTCCATCTGTCCAGACGGAGCTTCCGGGGCGACATTGACCATCGACGCGGCCTCCGCAGCCGTCTAGACGTACGTGACAGCCTTGGAGATGCCCGAGGCTATGGGTCGCATTGATGGATGCTCATGTTCGACAGGCTTCTGACCAGGGCGCTTCTTGTCCAGCCATGAGCAATTCTCCTTTCCAGCCGCCAACCTCGATACCCCATGATGGCTCCAATGCCCCCTCGACGGCAAGCTCTGACAATCTGAACCTAACCCCAAGCTCGAGCTGTCCGTCCGAGATCCGACCCGACGCCCAACGCAACGACGCACCAGCATTTGTTCCAGATGACGAATTAGCCTTGGCAGCCAATCCTCCCGTCAGCTTCCAGGCCACCACCATTGCTCCATCACCTCCAATTCAGTCTACTCCATTTGAAGATGTCGGCCGCCGAGGCAGATCGCCTCTAGACTCTGGCGCCTATTATCACGATGTCACTGGATCCCTTCGCATTTCCACAAACGTTACGTCTTCTTCTTCTTCTACAGCTTCCCCTTCGCTCTACCATCGCGAGTCTCCTACTGGCCATACCAGTCTCTCGCCTATTCGCATCCCCACGCCCTTGAATCACAAGTCGTCTTCCAGCAGCATACGCCTTCTGACACGAACCCCGAGTCTCAAAGCTGCCCTCGCGCATTCAATTGGATCTGCTAGCGGTACTAGCAGCGTTATTTCAAGTCCCATGATTACGGCAATGGGCGACGTGACGCCTTTGCCGAGTCCTCTCTTATCAGGAGAGTCCCCTGGACCGTGGAGGAGGCTGGCAGTGGGCTCTGTGTCCCCGCCTCAGCACCGAAGCCTACTGAGCAGTGTTGGAGAGGACTTGCCGACCATGGGGGCCCCCGTTGGCCCAATGAAGAACTCCAATGCCGCGGCTTCTTCCTCGAGGCGTAAAGTATATGCCAGCCTCACGGAAAGTAACGAGGCTAGCCAGCCTTTACCTAAACTCGCACAACCACCTCACCCTCAATCTGAATCTCAACCTCACACGAGGAACCGAAGCCTTAGTGAATATACCACGCCGGATCCCACGGCTATTCCAAAGAGGATTGTCTCCGTGTCTGGCCCCCACGCCAAAGCCGAATCTCAAGGCCCCCAAATGAGGAGGGAACAAAACCTGGCAGAGTCACGCGGCCTGGCTCCCAACGTTGCGAAGCCACCGACGCCTCCTCCTAGTGAGAGCTCAAGAGACTCGACTGACACTGCCTCTACCTCACGATACGAGTATTTTGAAGCCTTTGACCGGCATGATCGAAAACGGAGGCGCTGGCGCTCAGTGCGAACTGTGGGTCAAGGCACATTTAGCAGAGTCGTATTGGCTACCAGTCAGATGGATCAGCCTAAGCATCTCTCTGCCGATTTAGGAAGTACAACCATGACCGATCCCCCACTTGATCGGAAGACATTGGTCGCCATCAAGGTGTGCGAGCATGGCCCTCAGGGGGGAGCCAGTGAAGAGCGAGTTGAGATGAGTCTCAAGCGAGAACTGGAAATCATGCAGAGCATTCGTCATCCCAGCTTAGTCAACCTCATGGCATGGAGCATAGAACCTACGAGAGCAATCCTTGTCCTGACCTACTGCCCTGGAGGGGACTTGTTTGATGTTGCTACAGCCCACCGGAAGCTCTTGACACCGCCTCTGATGAGACGAATCTTTGCCGAATTGGTCGGTGCTGTAAAATATCTCCATGAAGAAATGATTGTTCATCGTGATATCAAGCTCGAGAGTAAGCTATTTGAATCACAGGGGAGTGAAAGTAGATCTTGCTAACAATCTTTCCAGACGTCCTTGTCAATCTTACGCCCAACGAGCTCGCAGATCCATCAATCGATTGGACCACGTACCCGCATTCAGTAATAGCATTGGCTGATTTGGGCCTATCAAGACGGATTGCAGAGGACGAAAAGCTCGAGACACGCTGCGGATCTGAAGATTACGCTGCTCCAGAGGTTATCATGGGTCAACCTTACGACGGTCGTGCTACCGATGCATGGTCCCTTGGTGTGCTGCTCTATGCCCTGCTCGAATCTCGACTCCCGTTTGATCCTCCTCCGGGGATGAACGACTCTCATAGAATGCGTAGTCGAAAGAGTCACCGGATTGCAAGAGGCGAATGGCGCTGGATCGAGTATGGCGGCGAAGACGGCGATCATGAAGCCAACGAAGCCCGTTTCAAGGAGAGGGGCTTGCTTGACGCCATGAACATTACAGAAGGTCTCCTCAAGCGTGCACGAAGTCGCTGGACATTACAGCAAGTATTGGCCACGCAGTGGGTGCAAGAGGGTGTTGCCGTTGAGGGTGGCATACGTTTCAGAGAAGAAGTTGGAGGGGCCGAAGTGTGCTAAAAGCAATCCATATCAGCGGTTGCTCCCATGTCCTCAAAAATGTGGAAGACGTGAATTTTCTTTTCTTCTCAGCAAGAGGCAGCGAGATGGAAGACCACCTTTGGTTCTCTCTCATGCTGCCAAAGCCATCGCTTGGCATGATGCTTTCTTTAGGCTCAACCACATGTCAGCCTTTCGTTTTATTCTTCTTTTCGCCATTTTTTTTAAACCCGTCTTTCTTTTCTCAAGGCATCAGGACTAAACTGGCGCTAACATTCGAATTATGCGCTATTGCTATATCAACCACGGAAATGGACAGAAAGCCCATGTATGATCAGGAGTTATAGGGGCGGTAGAGGGAAGAAAATCACTATCGCATGAAAACACACTTTTAAAGCACTAGGCAATGGAGCAATTTTTTGGAAGGGAGATGGGATGAGTTTCAAAGTAGGAGAGACTATGCGGGACATGTATCACGTATGAACTCTTTTAAAATAAGGGGGAAGGGGTTATTCAGCAGATTGGGGTGTTTGGTTGGAAGAAGGGCTGCCTTTTTATGTATTTCGGAACTCTTTTCTTTTCTTTTTTCTTTCTTTTTTTTTTTTTTTTTGGCTGTTGACAATAAACGTACGTGACATTTGGCAATCTGCTTGACCTGGCGAGGAGGGTCTGGTAGGTTGGTTGTATTAGTAGCATTTTTTCTTGTATAGTAGGTTTTAATAGGGATGATGTGTATATGTAATGGGGGATGCTGGCGGTTTGCATGACGCTATTAGTTTTTAATATAATATATTAATGGTTGAGTTTAATATGGCTTCTTTCCGTGGATTAAATCGTGTTTCGAAGGCGTAAGGTGTTTATATGCTTTGGAAGTAAATGGATCACTCCATTCGATCTGAGATCTCAATAGACAAATTGATTCAAGAGACATTATTCGTCTTCTTGATAGTTCTCAGGGACTTAGTAATGGTGACTACGCTCAATTGAATATTTTGTTCTCCAACTTGTGTATATCTTAGATATGGACCATGAACGAGCTCCATTGATACAATTGCCGTTTTGAAGCGTTGGGCTTGTTGTGTCTACTTCGGGACAGGGACTACTCTGTCAGCGACGCTTTTACATATGTTCTCTGCGAATTGCGTACTTGTGGCAACTGATAAATGGTCTGCTATCTCGAGGTGTGTAGTAGCCGTCCATAACCAGGGACATTACTGGTTGTCTGTCTCCTAAAAGCCATCTGCTTTAGCGGCGTATATGGGTCAGCCATGTCAACTATTGGGATTGGAACATATTGGAGTCTTTCACTTCAAAGAATGGTTTCGACTACTCATGGGTCTGGTTTAAAGGTTCTGAGGATAGTGCCAGTATGGCCATGCCGTGAGACTATGATCTAGACAACGCGCCGAGGTCCATGAACAGTCGAGAAATAAAAGATAGTTTGATACACTTTGTGTGAGACCACCGTTAGCCTTGAGTTCAAAAGACTGCTTTGGAAGTTGATTTTAGGTTGCAACAACTTATAATCCGGATTCACAACATTACATAGCGCCATCTACCCTTTCGATTCCAACCAAACAATGCTTTCTTTCATTAGAGACGTTCAACTGCTTGCCTACGGTTTCTCTCGACCCTCCACTAATCTCATCAGGCGCAGTCGCATTCCAAAGAAGCTGCTAGCTCGACCAGCTTCCAGTTTCTTTTAAAAGTTTTAATACTGCTCATAGTAAAGAAATCACTTTATGAGACAGGCATAACGTCTACAAGGCTGGTCAGCTGAATGATATGTGAACTTGAGTTTAAGCTAGTATCGCTAACCCAGTGAGCTAAGGACAAGAAGCCCGCCTATGCGAGGCTATCATTTTGCGAAACTTTGTACTATAACTCAGCGTGGCGCAAGATGTACTCACCAAAGAAAAAACCACATAATATTCTACACTTCAATAACTTACAATAACCCCAAAGTGCAGCAATAGCTATCTGTCTACGACATTATTGAATAGGAATTGTGGCTCTAGCTATTTATTGCTTCTCACATATTAAATTCCCAATACAAATGTATCTCTGGAATGCTTCAAAACTTAACCTATTATGAACTACCCAATGAGATAGTAGAGGAAGAGGCAATTATAGTTATAAAAGGCGTAGACAATGTCGTAATATTTTCAACAGAGGGGTTTGATTTAATAATAATTCGCTACACAATTACTTTTAATACTGCTGCTCTCTACCACGCCATTATACTTTGGTATACCTCCTACGATGGCTCTATGGGACGATCACGACGAATTCCTTCAGGAATCTTCTAGTATAAGGACAGCTACCTCTGATAGAAAGCGCCAGTATTTGGATGATTATAACGACCATATTGCGACACGTCTCAAAACACCTGAAGGTAACTTCCAAATATGGGCTCATATACTAGCAGCGATTCATCTTCCTGGAACAGACGGCGACAGACATGCGGATATTAAGCTCAATATCAACCCGCAACCGCTCGAAGATGATGACACCGAATATGATGACACATACAGGATTACAGACACTCGCGTGTCTGTCTTCATGGCAGGCTGCGTATGGCACTATCTGGAACCAGTTAATAAACCCAACGCCAGAGCTATTTTGCTCTTTCGAGGGACTGCATCACGCCCAGCACAATACCGTGATCGAGACGGGCGTCTCAATACTGAACCAGTCGGCTACTGGGCTGATGGAAACCTCATAGGCGTTGCATCCTTTAGTTACGGCAGAATCAAAGAAGGCGTTTATCAATGGATGAAACAACAGACCGCCGTTGGCAGGGATATTACTTTGGTAGGGTATAGCCTTGGCGGATGTTTAGCTATGCGAGCGCTTGAATATTATGCCACAAATGAGCAGCCTCGATGGGAGAATTGCAAGTTATATGCCTTCAGCGCTCCTGGTTTGGACAGCATAACTGCCAGAGCTTTAACAGAACGATTCAACGGCCGCTACGACCAGCTGCATGCGTATTGGCATGTCGGTGACCCGATACCTGTCACCGGATGTTATCCAAGAACCACGACCAAAGCATATAGTCGCTTTGATCCAGACGGTGTTGGTAATCCTGGTGAAGGGGGCTTGTGGAATTGGTTCAAGCTGGAGCCACATCAGCTTCTTTATATATCTATTCCAGAGGGTTGGGGGGTGTCTATCGCATACCCTGTGCGAGATCGTCTTGATGAACCAAATTCTTCAAATATATTTCGAAAAGTTGTTAACTTCGTCAGACGGCTTCCGTTGGGAATGATTGGAACAAGTATAATTACTCCTTTCTTAGGAGCTATTACAAAGGCGAGAAAGCGATTCACACGCCGCAATGCAAATGATTGGTGTGGCCATGCACATTGAATGTAAATCATCTTTATTATTACTTCTTGGCATAGTGTAACATATTTGCAATTGTAACCCATGTGCATAATGCAAGAATTATTCACAAATACTTCTAAAGCAATGCTACTAATCAATCTATAAAAATGAGTCATATTTCAACAATTCTGTCCCTAGCTTATAATACAGCGGTTCATATAACTTACAAAGCCGTTATATATATGCTGCATGTAATATCTTCTGAGGTATTTTGCTTATGCGATATAATGACGGACGTCTTTTTGAGCTTTCATGAGATCATTTTCTTTTATATAGAGAAACCTCCTAAATAGCAAGCTCAATACAAGCATTCACTCTCTGCGGTAATTGCATTGTGTCTTCACTATGAAATGTCTGTCTCTCTGAAACCACACTGCTAAAAGGCGAAAACAGCTTGCACAAGGACCAAGCATACACCAATCTAATTACGAACCAAAATGATTCAGAAGTCTAGTAGGGTAAACACGCAAGACATCGTCACCGAAAAGTTCACAGTAAAGCTCCTGGACTTGTTGACCTACCAAGCCTCTGTCGAGAATGAGTTGTATTACATTATGCAAAAAGTATCGACTATCATTCTCATACAAACTACATTATTCGCCTTCGCCTTCGTCTATTCATCCATTATAATGCCTCGGCATGTATTCCCTACCACGACCCAGTTGAGTCGTGTTCCATCAAACTCCAAAATACAGGGCAAAACCTACACACCCATCTATAGCTCAAACAGAATCATTTCTAACTCAGCTATTACATAAACCCAACACTTCGATCACCATAGAGTGCGTTTCCAGCTGATACTGTGGATACACCTTCCTCAGACACATTCTCAAGTCTCTGACTTTGAGCCCTGATCAACTCACTCCTGCGTCCAAACTATTGTCTAAAACACCTAGTCTCTCATCTCTTCAACTCAAGAAACCGCCCCTAGTTTCATCAAAACGAAAACCTTTACTTTTATAATGTCGCAATCGTTGCCAACTCTGGCACAATGACAATTTCCCTCGGCCCACTATTTAACCACTTCCCAATTGTCCACTTCAACAACAAACCAACATATCCGAAAATACACAAATCAATTCACTATTCATATTCCAAGAATAACATTATGCTAGTCATACAGCGCCTCACACTCGCCACGTCGTGTCATCCATCGTCAAAAAATAATCCACAACCAGCATAATGACTCGCAACTCCATCGCGGAATTGCACCCGCATGCTTATCGTCAGCATTATCGCGTCCTACCGCAAAAGGGCACGAAGCTAGACGGCACTCGACCCAATTCCTAGACAAAAGAGGCTGTGCCGGCATATACGAGATGCCCATTGAAGGATGAAACTAGTTAATGCAGCTGTGAGTCCTGTTTCCACTTGCCGCGATAGTCTACAGAGCCCGTGCGCTTTTTCGCTATGCAGAATAAAATGAACATCACATGTTAAGGCCATCGGATGTCCTTTTTTTTTATCAGCTAATAAGCTGTGGCCTATCTGTTAGCATGACACATAGCTTCTCTCCCCTTTGTCCCTTTTATCTGCTGAGCCTCCAAACTGAGCCCGCAGTTGCACGAGATACTCAGTCTCTCGGGCGACTCCGATCAAGTGCTTGTGCGACAATACTTGTCCAGGACTACGGTAACGTATTTGGACAGGTAACACAGGCCGGCGTTTAGAGACACAGGGCTGAGCAGCAAACAGATGTGTGACACAGGCGAACTGCGAGGTAACGAGGCGGTCCTGCCGAGGATTCTGATTAAGGGCATGTGACTTCTCTCGCGAGGAGAAACGAGCTTCTTCTCCTGACTCGAATCTTGCATACGGCCGCCATTTGCAGCCCAGGCGGCAACTAACAAATGAATGCCCTAAAACGGATGAAAGCGAGGCATCTAGAATTTTCCTTGCGAATACGGTTCTGAGACAAGTGCCGGGCTAGGAGAAATGTCTTTGCTTCAGCTCAAGAGCTCTACCGCCTTTTCGAAATTCATGTCGTCGTCGCCGCGTAACACATGACGCCCGCCTTCATTCCGGATCAGCAAAGCATGTCATTTGGATTGGACGGCGTGGCATCCGCACGCGCCGTAGCGTCACCGTTCGCCCCTGAATGAGATTAGAACGATACCAGCCAGACACGAAGAAGGGAAAAAATCTGCTGAGCAAGGAGAAAGACGGCATCAGGCCAAGCCCAGACGGGCGGAAACCTTACTGCCTCTCCTATGAGTACTTTCGAGGCCTCCTATTGCCATTGTAGGACTAAGCGAGCATCCGTCACTCGTAAAAAGACTCAAATTGGGGCGTCCAACGATGGCACACTGAACTTCTCCGCACGTTTATTCGTTAGGTAAATCGACGTCAGGATCAAATCCCAACATGTCAACGCCAGGTTCACGGTAGTCATTTGGTTTTCAACAACAATAGTCCCTCGCTCCCCTGCTCGTTTTCCTTGGCTCCCTTGCTTAATGCATCCTTCAGAAACGATGGAGCGGTTCATCTGCTCGATCTTGAACGAGGCTGGCCAGCCTTACCCCAGAAAAGGAGGTCAAACAATCCCCAGAAACCGCCACTGCGGACCGGCGGCTATCGTCGGGAGGTAGCATGCACTGTTTGGCGTCTGATGGCATGGCATTTCCTGGGGAAATGTCCACTCTGGAGGGCCTCTCCAGAAAATCACTACTAATAGAAATCAAAACCCCGTGTTCTTGGCTGCGGGCGTACATGAAAGCGGCCTAGGATGCGATGCAGCCATGTGCCGTCTGCTCATCCTTTGGATATCTCGATATTGTAGTTGGCTAGACGAGTAGCAAGTGGTGCAGGCAGACCGACACCAGCCCGCTCCATACAGTAGTTGGTACCGGCCAGGCGCAAAGTCAGGCTGGCACCATTAGGAAACCCGACAAAGCCCGAGCCGATGCCGAAAATCTTTGCGCAGGAGGCTGGGCCTCGGCCTGGAAAAAATATGTCAACACGCTGGATCTCAAAGTGCTTCGGATGTCTTTAGTCATGAGCTGCGCAAAAACCAACAGTTGCCGCGAGGGCCACCGACACCCGGTAGCTGTTTCAAACTTCAACATCGGTTGATGAACCGGACAACCTTGGATGGGTACGGAATAGGGAGCTGGAATTGCAGCTCGCATGGACGCGCCGTCGGCTGGCTCGCGCAACAAGAGTAACAGGTGGATCGCTCCAAGGCCATCTCGGCAAGGTTCCAGCTTTCGGCGGCAACTTTGAGCTCCGCTCTCGTCAGTCCCCGCATCCAATATTGGCCGTTTGGGCACGAATGACACGCGCTCCTTTTATGTAATTCGGCAGTCTCCCGGTTAGATCCAAATCTCGACAGCTTCCCAAGACCATCGTCCAGCGCCGTTGCAAAGAGATAGCTGCTGTCCGTGCGCTAGAATCTGGACGTACTTGTAGATGTCGAGTTTTCGTTTTAGTAGCCGACTTTGTTTTCAGGGGAATGTGATGCATGCGGCTTCCTCCCGAACTTAATAAGAGCGCCTCCCCCGTCAAATCGGAATAACATCCTGGCATCCAGTCAAGGCCATGCGATTCGTAATGCTAAAAACAAGCCACTTGGAGCAACTGCTTCGCTTGCCCACCACTCAACGTCATTGGTCTCGACCTAAAAGGCCCTGGCAAACTCGGCTGACGGTACGAGGTACTAGCACGACGGGCCAGGAGTGTTGCATGCCTCGGAAATCAGCCACGAAATTCATGAGACCTGCTCATAATGGGTATTTGTCGCGTTGCCTGCTCCCGTGGTACTCCGTACTTGCAGTGCCGCCCACTTTGGCTGGCGCTCTGCACTCTCACTGCCTCAGACAAAAGGAAAAGACTGCAGATTTTCACAAGCTGAAGTCCTGGACAGACATGACGTTGCGCTGCAGGACTGTATGCGAGTGATACTTGTAAAAGCTTTGTCGCTCAAATTAGCTCATCATCTTTAAATGAGCTCCTATCAGCAGCCGCGCCGCGGATTTGGCCCATTCAGTAATATTTGATGGTCAACCCGGTCAGCGATAAAACTAAGGGCGGCAGGAATCTCGTGCTCCGTCCTCGTACGAACGAGTTACCTAGGTACATGTATTTCTCCGTCATGTGAAAGTAGCCAGAGTACCGCCTCTGAAGGTACTTGCGCCATGTGGCTCGGCGACTGCCGCCATCTCATCGACGTCAAACATGTCGCATTAAAAGTCAATGCTTTGCATACTAGTATACTCGTATGCGCTCTGGAAATTGTCCCTGTCCGGCAGATATTAGCATCATGCTGGTCTAGCTGATTTGGAATTTTGTCCCCGAGAGTTTCGCCCTGTTTTCTGCGTCAGGGCAACCGACAGCAGCGGGAAAAAAATGAAAAAAAAATTGAAAATGGCGTAAATCGCCGGGGCTCTTGCGCTAGGTGGACGCCGCCATTCGAGATAACGCCAACTGAATGTAGCACGCAACTCGTAATTGCACGCGATTTTTTTTGCCGCACGCCTTTTTTGCCGCAAGCCTTTTTTCCCTCGTAGACAGCGGGTCTGCGATGCTTGGTAAGAGAGGCTCTGCCCACTTGGGGGCGAGCCGTTGGCCACTGAAGATACAGCCTCGCTCTCTTAGCTCCATTCCAGACAACCTGAAAATGAAAACCGGCTCTTAATGATGCAGGATTTCAAGCGTGCTTATCGACGATAAGGTTCTTTGGCGACGGCCATGGGCGGATTGCAACAGATACGGAGCACTTTACGTACTGTACATGCTGGTGATGGGAGATCTCGTGAGATGCCACCCATAACCGTAAGCACAGTGCCCAAGGAAACGGATTCAAGGTTGTATCGCGACACCACTCAACCCCTGCTAGTCCCGCAGAAGCTGCTGACACCATGGTCTCGGCGCGGGTCAGCCCCAGACCCTCGATAGGCTTCTGTTTCGACCCACGGCGGTGGCCGAAGGCGCCAGCAACATGTTGCGCCGTACTCCGTGGCTGTAGCACGCTGCTGAATCGTGTTATGCCCCACAGTGCTGTCTCCCACGTCCCACGTCCCCCAGCCTGTTCCTTGACTGCGATCCGTCCTTTGTCAATTACAGCACGACGAGCCATCATGGACAAGACACTGTCGGCCCGGCTCCAGTGCTTGGTCACGCCCACCGCCCATTACAGTACTGTACGCACGGATAAGGAAGAATGCAATCCGACGGATTTGCGACACGCTTTGGGCGATCCTTCCAACCCAAGGCAGGTGGCGGCAGTGCTGCCAGCGGAGGGGTAACCAGAAACCGATCAGTGAGTCGCCGAGGGTGAATGGCCGACTCATGGTAGATACTGGAAGAGCGTACCCGTAAGAGCGTGTGCCCCCTCCGTTTGGACGTGCTGTACGGATATCCTGCTTGGCGCTCTGCCACATTCTATGCTCGTCCATTCTGCCCGTATGGGTTTGCGGAGTGGTGCTATAATAGTTAGCGTACGGAGTTGAGACTTGGGGACTGGAGTGACAGCCACATGCACCTTGACACCCAGTACGCACTCCGTATCTTGCAAACAGCACTCGGTACAGCAAGGGAAGACCAGTAGAACTTGAAAGGAACATCTATTTAGCGAACTTGGCGGATTTGGTGTGAGCCCTAAGCCTTCCCGCCCGCTCGCTCGGTCACTCCTTTTGAACTGGTATTGGTGGCCGAGGCAGTCGGTTGTGCCGGTGCGAATTGTAATGGTGGTGGTTTAATCTGTGGCGCTGTCCTGATCCTCGCCCGAATGGCTCGCATATCTCTCAGCAAGCCTCTTTTCTCTTCCAATTTTCACGCGATAGAGCCACACAGGGTACGGAATCCTTCTGGAACCGCCTGACCACGGGCACTGTCAAGCTGTAAATTGGAAGGCCTCTCTGCAGGCGAAATGCCATCATCGATGCGTCCGAGCACAGTGTCGTCGAGGATATGGCACCAGGGGGTCAGTATCAGAGCGCTGTTATTGGTGGTTTTGCCTGGTGGGTGGTGGCTTGAGTTCATATCACCTTCTTTTTTTGGCCGATGGTGGCATTCCCACACGCCGACCCCCCTGGCTACTCCAGCTCAATGGCCCCCGGCAGCCCTACTTGTTTCCCCGGCCTGATTATTTGCTTCGCCATCGTTGTTGCAATAGTCGTTAGCCACCAGCCTGCATCAGGTTACATCCCCTCCAATCCAACGTTTGGCTCGCCATGCTGTCTCTTCTCTGCTAGCCCCTCTCCACCTGCTCTCGTGCCTAGGCTTTCCCGTCGTTTAATACCATCGTACTAGCGGCAGCGGTGGCATTAGCATGTAGACAAGTAGAGTACATCAGCCAGAGCAATTCTCTCCTCGCTCCAATTCGGGGATCTCGCTCTCTTATCTCAGCGGGGGCCTTCTAAATTGACCCTTCTCGAAAGACGGCACATGGGATTTCCCATCTTGGCAACTTAGACGAGGGAACTTTTGCTCGCTCTCTCTTTCTCTGCGTGGCTTGGCTGTCTTCCTCCCACGCTTCTGCTGCAGTTCCGGTGTTTGACCAAACCACACAACGGCTGTTGCCCTATCAAGGCCGTTTTGCCCACATCAGCCGATATCTGGGGAACGATACCGATATCTGCCCCTAGCCAGCCAGCCAAGCCCTTGTACTGGGCGCCGCGCTCTCGTCTAGTAGGCCTCGCTACTACTGTGATTCCCTTCTCTTTACTATCCATCTACACTGGGCGACTATGGGCACCTTTGCCCGCCTCCCATACACGACCTTGATTTGACTGAGCAAACACGCTCGCCACTCCAACAGAGTGATGAATCATCGCGCTGGAGACTGATTATTCCAGCCGAGTCTCACGACTTGCCCAGGTCCGTCAGTGACTGACAGACAGACTGCCGGCGGACTGAGCAACACTGCTCTGTCTGTTCGGTGTGGGCACGTTGACATGTTCCATCAACCGCCAGATAAGCCTCGCGCGACTGGCTTCGATGATGATACGTTCGGGTTTGTCAACCAGGCTTGGGATAGGTATGGCTTCGGCAACGTGTCGTCGCCTCCTCCGGCGATGCCTCCGCAGCCCATCCAGAGGACCGGACGGGCCTATTCCACGGCATCGGTAATGGATTGGACCCCCGATCTCGACACGACCTTTCACCACCACGGCGACGGAGTGGCCATGTCGCCAGTAGAAAATGTCGAAATGGACAGCCTGGGTACGGCTCAGGGAGGGGGAGGGGTTGGCCGCTTGGTTGCGCATTTCGAGAACAAAGGATATGTCCCGCCATTGCCTCCTCGGCCCATCAGCAACCAGCAGCATCAACCGCATCAACCGCACCACCTTGGCACCAGCCCTTCAATATCGTCGCAGTTTGGCAGCCTAAATTCCGTAGCCCATACGCATAGGATCTCGAGCCCGGTTGCCAGCTCAGGTGAATCCCAATATGGCTCGCTCGGCGTCCATTCGCCCCCAACTCCCAGTCCAATCGCCACCAGCATGGGTCGCTCTGGTAGCGTGCACTTTGGCAGTTTCCATGATACTCAGCAGGTGCATAGTCCCGGCATTGGTACGCCATTTGGAAGTATGGATGGGTTCATGAATTCCACCCGTGTGAATAGTCCGATGGTATCGACTCCAATGGTGACGACGCCAATGGTAACGACCCCCATGGTGTCTAGCCCCATGGCTACTCCCGGAGTGCCTGGTACACCTGGATTCGAAATATGGCGACCTCCTCCCTCAATGACTCCCAAAACCGAACCCTCCCAACTCAACAACCCAGCCAACAACTTCGGTTATTTCAGACCTCCCGTGCCGACAACGCCAAAGCCGGTTGTGAACACAGGTAACCAGTTCATCTTGGAATTCAACCCGAGCGCCAAGGCAGCCAAAGGGAAAGCCCCAGCGAAACCACCAAGGCCACGATTGCCTCCACGTAAACCCAGTGTCGCACAAGCACAAATATCAGCACGAGCATCGACACCTGCTCAAGCGTCAACACCAACACCCGCACCGGCCGCCGCATCCACCCCAGGGCCAATGTCTCCTCCTCCTAAACCGCCTCGACCCTCAGAACCGTCGTCGTCTTCATCCACACCTCTCGCTGTGAGCTATATTGTGAGACTCGGTGATTTTCTCATATGATAGTACTAATACGTTCACTTAGGCACAACGACAGGATTCGATTTCTCTTCGTGCCCAGGCAGGTACTAGGCCGTCACGGGAACAGGTTCCTGCAGAGGCCTGGGAGCAATATAAATCCACCATCAGAGCCCTCTATCTTGAAGAACGAAAACCGTTGAAAGAAGTCATGAGCATCATGGCTGACAAATATGGCTTTCAAGCAACGTGAGTCGTGATTGTTCTTTGTGTTTCTTCATCTCCCTGAAGCAGATCTAACCCACCCTCAGGCCAAAGATGTACAAGACTAGATTCTCTCAATGGGGTTTCGTGAAGAACAATACAGAGGAGGAGGTCAAGCGGCTGTTGTCGATGAAGTTCCAGCGTGATGCCGAAGGCAAAGTTTCCGAATTTGTCCGAAACGGCAGAGTGGTAAACCTGGGTACTTACTTGAAACGAAAGGGAGTGACGGAGTACGATTTGGTGGATTTCGAGTTACCCGCCGATCTCCCAGCTCATATTCGATGCAGAACGCCAACGCCACCTCCGGCGCTTCGGTCACCCGATCTCCTTCGCGCACAAGAGGTTGTGGTTGGAAACATGCGCAAGGCCTTTTTGCACTGTCGACAATTTGAAATGGAGACGGAGACGCAAATTGGCTGGCCATCAACCATGGTTTGGGGAGCCGGATCAAGCGAGTTATTAGTCGAAGCCAACTTTTATTTCGAAGCCCGCGACGCAGACCAAGGCGGTGACTACCTGATGCGGGCTTTCAAGCAGCTCGAGGTGGACCTGAGAAAACTTTCGCCGCAGGGCATCATGGAACTCATCTTGGGCATGATTAATCGCGATCCCGGCATGATGACGGCTCTGTGCAAATACCTCGCGGCATACTCGACGACTAATTTGGAGCGCACGCATCCTCTTCGGCAAATCTTCACCTGTTTGTATGAAGTGCAACAAAAGCATGGAGCGCAGACACTGTCTGAACTCTTGTGGACTAGTATTTCCACAATTGCAGAGGAACTTGAAGCCATCTATGGACGCAAGCATCCATATGTGGCTCGAACATGGGCTGACCTTGCAATGTTTTATAACCACGTGAACCCTGAGAGGCTGGACAAGTTGGTTATTGAGCTTCGTGTTCTGCAGAGGCAGCTCGAGCAACGGCATGGCCATTCCAGCGTCGAGGTAGTGTCTATCCGATATGCTATTTTGCTGTTGGTGTATGCGGGGGCGCCTCAATCAGATGCCGCGAAGCAAGCAGCAAACGATTATTGGAATATGTTGCGAAATATGGGTACCATGTTTCCCATGCGCGACTCCCGCCCGAATTGCTATTGCTACCATAGCCCTCTCAAGGTCGACCCATGGACAAAGAGATGTCGGAGGCGGTATGACTCACTCGTAACCATCCTGGAAGAGCATGTGGGAGTGAGAATTCACCCTTATTTCGAAGAGGACTTCCACACAACCGAGCACGTCCAAGAGCCACAGAATGCATGGGCCGCAGCTCTCCAGATGGGTACGTCGAGCAGATCATGGGGCTTTATTTAAACGAAGCGCCCTTGAAGCTTGGATACGTTCCAAGCCAAACTAGCACAGGTATCTCGATACCTTGTCCTCTCATTTACTCATGACGATTATCTTGTTGCGGAAAAATAAAAGAACAGAGTCGGCAATACGCGTTTTGGCGGTTGATACCCAGCATCAAGAAGGGTTTGTGGCGCGCATAGCGGCGATTTCGGTTCCGTCCTGTTTGCCATCACATATCGAGCCTGGAGTTTTGGACGGCTGATACTTTCACCTACGTGGAATTTCCTTTGTCGTCTACTGAACGCTGACAAGTCGTTTTCCTTGGTTTATTTGTCTCCTTGCGCGCAAAGTTTTCGCACCTCGAGCCGGCGTTTTGGAGGCTTTCAGCTGGATGCTTGTGCATCCGTGTATAATAGTATGCGTTGTTGTTGTTTTTGGCTGTATTTTTGCGCTGTTTTGCTTTGTTTTTTTCGTGTTTCCGGAGACCGCAAGGAGGAGGCGGACACGATGTTGAGAGTCTGGCATGGGCTGAGACAAAACCCCAGACTTTTCAAAAGGGCAAACGTGGAGTTGTTGGAACTTGAGCAGAAAAATACCTTATCGAGCATTTCCTGCACTATCTGGGAAGGCGGCAGGCTGGAGTTTGGATGGCAGGAACGGACGAGGCAATTGTCATGCAGATGGTAGACCAGACCGTCCTTCTGGGAAGGCGGTAGCACCCTGATTTCTCATCGCACCTTCTTTTCTACTTGACTTGCCGTTAGTATTAAAACCTTGGTAATGAATAAAGACATGATGACATCATCTTTGAATTGCGTTTATCTGCATTGTAAATACCTGGTACTTATTGATTGCTTCAATTTTTATATACCTTACCTCTACGCCGTACCATACAAATAAATCCAAGCGAAATCCATCTCGGAAATCTCATTCCGAGGTATCACCGGCGCAAACCTTCCCAGGATTTTGGTGACCTCATCACCACCAGCATCTCTTCCCAACCCACCAAAAACCTGCCCGCCATGTCGCTATTCCGCGGCCAATTGAGCTCCAGACATCTCCAGCACCTAAACAGCAATAGCAGCAGCATCAGCAAAGTCTTTTGCCGCTTCTACTCTTCCTCGAATCGCACAATCAAAGGTACGCCTCCGGAGCCTTCTCGACCAAGCTTCTCCCGAAGAAAATAGACACAGACAGCAAACCTTCTTTTTCTTCCTTGTAGAGTACGACGTTCTTTTCCTCCGCCAGCATGGCGCCAAACACGCAAAGTGGCATCTCTCGGCTCCCTTGAAGCCAGAGAGTCGTGTGAGGCTTTCGTATGGGGCTTCTATTCCTGGGTCAGATCTAATCGGCCGTCGCATTCTCGATGTGGTTCGCGATAGCGCTGGCAATTCCGTGGTTTTGCATGAACCGTCTCTTGCAAGCTACATAATTAACAGCGAACGTCTCGCCACGCCGGTAAGAATTCTCACTCAATTCTAGCACGCCGGTAGGCTTGAGAAGCTAAACAGTCGCAGATCTACCCCAACGACGCCAACACAATCGTCTCTCTCCTCGATCTCAATCCCTCTCGCCCCGGCGAAGACGACCAAGACGATGCATCTCCTCCCTTCGAGATATTCGAAGCCGGCACCGGCATGGGCAGCCTCACTCTCCACATCGCCCGCGCCATACACGCCGCAAACCCGCCTCTGCCGGCCGCTCTTCGACAAATCCTCATCGCTTCCCCCTTCAAGTCTCGCTATGACTTCGCCACTTCGAGGGGATGCCTCGAAATCTCCCCCGAAGAACAGGCCACGCTCGATGCATACGCTTCTTCCCGTCGCGCGGTAATACACACTCTCGATCGCAACTCGAAGCATGCTCGCGCTGCGTACAAGCTCGTTCGCAACTTTCGCCGTGCGCAGTACTTGCCTTCTGTCGACTTCCACGTCACCTCCATAGATGAGTTTATAAGTCAGCGACTTGAGCAAACAGGCGGACAGCCTTTTCTCTCCCGCGCCATTCTCGATCTCCCGTCGGCGCACGAAAACGCCCAGCGTGTAATTGAAGCTTTGCAGCCCAATGGCTTGCTCATCCTCTTCAAGCCTTCCATCAGCCAAATTGCCGATTTCCAAGCTTGGTCCAATGAGACAAAGCAGCCAGTGCGCATGGAAAAAGTCATTGAACTCTATTCTACTACTGCCTCCGACGGCGGCGTGCACGACAGCTCTGGTGGAAGACACTGGGATGTAAAAACTGTAGTGCCGAGAGCGCAGCAGGGAGAAGGCGGCAACAATAAGCCGGTACAGGTGATGCGGCCAAGAGTAGGCGAGCGTGTTGCTGGAGGAGGCTTCGTGGCTGTACTGCGGCGATGGCCTGTGTCTGAGGTGCCAGTCCAAGAAGCCTCTGAAGAGCCAGAGGTCCAAGAGTGAAGTTGACATTTCATCTTGGACACAGCCAACGAATCCTGGGACGATGTGTTGGCTATTTCTTGTATATATTGTGCCATTAGACATATTTACCGGATAGACATTTCATATAGATGCGGATAGACTGGTTAAAGACCTTTGGTGTATATAAAAGTCATGACAAGGGCGGAGCTTGATGATACAAGTCAGTCACATTTGCATCACAATCAAGAATATCAGTTCTCAAGAAAGTTGCAAGCCACAAAACATCTCAATCTTCAAAAGAAATAAGCCAAAGAATGGTCCGCTCGCTATTTTGCAAAAAGTCCCAGCCAAATCACTCTCACTCTCAAATTCTACCAATTGTTGGCGGGTATCTCTATATACAGCGCTACAAAAAAAAAATATTCATGTATATCGTCATCGTCGTCATAAAATCGCTTTGTAAAACAAAAACCAAAACCACCTTTTCCCCCTGGGGTGTAATCCTCCTCTGTGCTCTCCCTCTCGTTACAATCTAAGGTATCGAGAGTTATCCTTCAAAAAAAGGACATCCGCAGAATGCGCCGGCCCGCCATTGCACCTGCTTCAGTTCCTCAAGGTTGAGCCATCTCCATTAATATTTAACCCCTAATGCCATGTTCGAAAAGAAAATCTTCCAGAGTATATCTGTCTTGTGGCCGGCAACTAACCCTCCGTCCGGCGGCGTGATAAAGAAAAAGCGAAAAGAGATGGGAAAAGAGGAAACGAGCAGTATAGCGAAACTAAAAATTCCAACGCGCGCTAGACAGAGGCTTTACAGCCATTGTATATTCGCTGTTCGTGGCCCATTCGCTGAAGGGAGTGGAGGAAAATCTCGGATTTGCGGTATTAATGACCCAACTCTTTTGATACTGTAAAGGAAAAAATAAAATGAGATGGTAAAAAAGAGAAGATAAAAGAAGGTCGAATCATGCTCGTTAAAGATCCAGTCTTGATGATAGGCTTGCGCCATGTCTTCCAATCTTGAGAGGTTTTTTCCAGTATCATTGCTTCCAGATGCCAGTAGGAAGATATGAAAAAATGAAAGAAATTAATGAAACAACAACAGAGTATGAAATATAAATAAAAGAGTTTAGGATGCAACGAAGCACTGAGCGGCATATGATTAGACACTGTTGATCTTCTCAGGTGCACGAGCGCAGCAAACCATCAGTTTGAGGCTCGTGCCCAGTTCTTCGCATTCCCTGAGCAGAGCCTTGTCATTCCAGATGCTGCTTTTTCCGGAAGATTGGCTTGTTGCGTTCTCGTAGCATCGAGAATACCACCAGCGTCCAACTCGAGAGACCATGTTGGTAATGCCCTCATCTGCGTTCGGACTTTGATCTCGCATCATTTCCGCCAAGCTAGGCTGGTCTTTGGATGATTTCTTCGCCTTCTTCTCAGCTAAGCCTTTGCCTTTTGCGTTATCATCAGAGGAAGTGATTGAGCTTGCAACCGGAACGCCAACGCGTGCAGCCTTGATCGTTGAAAAGCCACTCTTGCCCAGGAGGCGAACGATTAAGTCGGCAGTAGAGGCCAAATTAGTCTCTGGTGAAGTTTCATGTATGCGTTCCTTGAGTTGACGAATGGTACGGCGCCCGCGGTTACCCATATTGTTAAGATCAACATCAAGAATAGACAATTCAAGGTATCCTCCCGGCTTGAGCACACGACGGGATTCGGATAGGATATTCTGGTAGTGGGATTCCGGAGCAGCAGTCGGAAATCGGTAAACAACACAGTTGAAAGTATTCGAAGCAAAGGGAAACTCTTCGAGGTGGGAAAGATATTGTGTTTGATGATGGTTGGGTGGGCTAAGGGGATATCGCGAGGCCGAACTCTGTGGATCAGCAGCAGGCAAAGGAGCTCGTGGAGAGAGGTTGAAGAAGTCGGCAGCCGAGTATGTTTCCGCGGCATAAAACGACCAATCGTCATTACCAAGCCCGTCAATGACGAGAACTGATGGGCGCTCAAGGGAGTCTCGGCCCCGGACCAGCCCATGCCGAATGTCGCTGAAGAGAACTTGGCCAAAGCTAAGCCATTTGGAGACGGTCATGGAACCTACGCGAAGGTTCACCTGAGCCAGGGGCGTCCATTCTTCAGAAGAGGTAGACGAGCCTGATTGCCTAGACTTGTGGGAAGAAACGGTGCTGTGACGCATGGTTTCAGCAGCGCTAGGCTTCCTAGAATGCCGACCGTCGTTCTGTTCTACGGCCTCCGGCACGGGCGATGGTACCGTAGGGCTAGGATGAGGCTGGAAGGCCTTTCGAATTCTCTCCGTCATGTCAGCACTAAATGTAGTGGAAGTTGTCCGTGCATCTGAGATGGTTGACAGCTTGCGGTTATCGGTGACGATCGTTGGAGATTCGAGAGGGTTCTCCTTTGCCAGCCTCATCTGGTAGGTTTCGAGGTGGAACGGAACACCTTTGGAAGACGTGGTCGACTGTCGGCCTTTCACAGTGTCTTCTCCCAGAAGATCATCATATTCGTCCCAAACTTCATCATCCGCAGGCGGGTCATCAGGCTTTGGAATAACAGCTGTCGCCTCTGCATAATTGTATGAGACACAAGACTCGGTTGAGCTTGTCGTACAGTCAGAATCCTTTCGAGGGGGAGAAAAGGCCAGGAATTCTTGCGTAGTTGTAGGCTCGGGGGATAAACGTGACCGAGGTTCGCTGAAGAAGGAGAACTCGGTGCCCGCATCCGTCGTTGAGCCATCACCACCACTTGTATCCGGGATCGGAGATGGCTTTGAAAAATTAGGCATTCTAGTATTCAAGCCCGGGCCGCGTGTCTTGGGTATATGCAAAGAAAGTTGTCCATTTCCCATAAACGGCCGAGAGAAACTGCGAGGAGAGGGTCCTTCTGAACGCTTGCTCACCACCTGCGGTATCCTTCCCACCTGTGCCAGGCGGCTTGGTCTTCCAGAACTCAGAGTTACTGCTGCAGGGGGGGCTATTCCTTCCATTCGAGAAATGGCTGGCCCGTCCGCCACAGCATAGTAGTCTTGGACTGGTGAGAGAGGCTGTGGCAAAATGTTCGCTGAAGGCTGCAGCCGAGATGTGTTGAACGACTGAGCTCCCTCTGTTTGCAACTCAGGGGTAGTGATCTTGGCAGGTGAGCGTGCGTACGCATCAGCCTCGCGCAGAATCTCCTTGAGATCTACGGGCTCGGCTGATTCTTGCTCGGGTGAATCCATAATAGTGTAAAAAGCCACCGGCTTCTTCTCTACTGGTTGTACAGTAACGGCAACCGTTTCGCTTGCCTTGTCTGGTTTGGGCTGGTTGTTTGATCTGCTGAAGAAATTCCATTTCCTCGGAGATCGAGGCTTTTTCTTGAGCTTTTTAGGAGCCGGATGAGCGTTACCGATTTCATGGGAAGGCTGCTGCTGAAGATTGAATACAGAAGACTCATCAGACATGATGCTGGTATCAAAGCTAGTCATGGGTGATGAAATCACTCCACTGGTGTTGATTGGCCTTGGTAGTTGCAGAGGGTTGTCTGGAAACGACTTCAATCGTTGAATTGATCGTCTAAATGCCAGAGTAGAGCCCATAGCCACGCTACTGGTATCGGTACTGTCCGATGGTCTTCGACTATTCGTGTGATTCTGCTCACGAGGAATTGCCGACGGCCAAAGTCCCGTTCCTGGAACACCCCTTAAAACAGAAGATGTGGTTGAATTTGCAATTGAATCAATGCTTGGGCGTTCGTTTGTCGTCAAGCTCATATTGCTCTCTGTCCTGCTGAGCTCTGCACTGGCGTTTCGATTCTCAATGACAGCTCCCCCAGCAATAACGACAGGGTTGATGCGGTCAGCTAGGAAGGAATCGCCACTGACAAGGCTCTCGTTGGATTTCCGAGGGTTGGCAATGACTGCGCTTCTCCTCCGAACAGCACCAAGCCGTCCGTACCCTTCATGACCTGTACCAGCTGCTGGCCCCTTTCGAGATACTTTCTGTTTATCCTTGCTGTCCTTTTCATTTGGCGTGTTCTCTGCAGAAGCTTTTCTCCGCCCAAAGAACGGAAATCGAGGGCCAGAAGACTTGATATTTGGGGACGGCGTAGCAGCTGGTCGAGCTGGGCCAGACGCAAATGGGCCAGAAACGCTAAGCTTTCTCCTACTCGTCAATTTGCCTGATGAGGTAGGTTGCTCAGATGTGAGTAGGTTCGAAGTTGATGCGCTCTTGTTGGTCTGCAGAGTTGAAAGCGGAGGTGGATGAGGCATTGAAGTCTCACTGTCGCGTCTCTCTTGATTGAGAGCCCTGAGTGCCAAGCTACTTTGGATTACTGGAATGGGGGTATACAGTTGGGACTTGAGATCAGAAGTACCATCTCGACTGGGTCGGCGCGGTGGCAGAGCCTGCGGCGAGGGTGATTGGTAATTGCGAAGTGGAAGAATCGACCTTGGTGGGGATGAGATACCCATGGGTTGAGCCTCTGGCCGGCGTTTTTGTCTGGGAGAGAGCTCATCTTCATCTTCGCTTGGGTGGAACCTCTGCGAAGATTTCCGTGGAGGGGGACTTGGTGGCGGTGCTGCGAGGCTTTTGCCTCCTTTCCTTTCCTTCTTTATGTTGATGCTACCCTTGACAGTTGAGCTCGATGATGACGAAGTCAATGACTCTCGAACTGCTGCAAGGCCGTGGGGATCAACGCTTATAGAATCCACCTCATTTGAAATGCTCCCAGTCCTTCGTCGGGTAACGGGTGGGCGAGTAAGAGCCGGGCTATGCTGTCGAATCTTCGCCAAGGGGAAGCCCCGGCTAGGAACAACGAGGCCAGGGGACTGTGAGGATATTGAAGTTGGGGTTGTGTCTCGGCTATATGGCCCCGGACCGGGCGATGCAGAAAATCTGGTTGAAGGGCTACCACTGATGGCACTAACCTGACTGCTATTGGCGGAGAAGAGCAAGCTCCCGGGAGTCGGCGGTGGAAGATCATGTGTAGCCAGGCGGTAAGGCATGTCTGCAGCCTGTCTATTAGAAGCACTGCGTGCTCGGTCGTAATGACGATATCGATCTAGCTCAGGGTAGATGACCGGAGACTGGCCAACAGGCTTCGAGACGTCGGATGGCTCTTCCTTTTGAACGATACTTGGGCTTGCCGTTATACCTCGATTAAATTGAATTCCGAGTGCCGAATCCATCATGCCCTGTGATTGAAGTCCAGGGGAACTCGAGCCCAGACCAGGAGAACCACTGAGCAGGCTGCCCGCCTCGGGTGACGGTGAGGGCTTCTTGCGTCTCGGCACATTTTGTCCCGGCTTTGAGCTACTATCAAATGATCGACTAGAAGAGGAGGACCCTGATTCGGTCTGCGTATGGGATCGTGAGTAGCCAGAAGAGCTCGTCGCCGAGCCCCATGACTTTGATTGTCGATCCGGAACAATCTTTGGGACGGATTGCTGTGCAGTAGCAGAGGGCCGACGTGCTGAAGATGGGAGAGGGACTCGGCTAGCCGCACGTAGCTGTGATGAGTCTTGCTTTACCAGTTTCGGGATATCCGTTTCTCTCTCGCTCGTTCGGGAAGTAGATTTGGGAATGCCACTCAATTGCTTCGAGTCTTCGGGCCGTCTTCGAAAGCCGTCGGATGGCCTGACCGGTAATCCATATCCCGCCTTGGGGGATGCCATACTGTTCCAACCTCGTGGGATATTTGTAGTATTCCAAACATGCCTCTTATGATGTATAGAGATGCATACTTCGTCCAAAGGGTATTCAAGTCAAACTTTGTCTTGCTCACATGTCAGCAGATGCAACGTAACTACTAAGCAATAATGTAATTGCGGCGTTGGGCAAGAGCACAGGTAATATTTCGACCCATCAGAAATTAAATTAATGAAAAGGAGCCTGCTCACCTTGTTGGCCACGAGCCTTAGGTCAAAGCCTCACTATTAGCAGAGCTGCTGGTACACAGTATGGTACAGCCAAATCCGGCAAAGAGCTCAGATCACAAGGGACTCTTGTCGAAGAGCTCCAGAGCAAAAAAAGAAACTTCTACCGAGGCTCTCAAAGCGAAGGTGAGTGGCTATTTCAAGAATAAACGAGGAGGGAAAAAAGAAATTATCGTGCACGAAAAGGGAACAATGTAACGATGGAGTGCCGGTAGTATAAAAGAAACCGGCAGACTGAGAGGACCGGAGGAGTGGGGACGCAGCCCGAGGCGGGAATAAGCTGAACTAGGCACGGAGTAGCTTAGTGCTGCTGAGAGAGCGTTTGCCAGTAGGTTAAAATTGACTGAGCCAGGCCGGTAGAGCACTTGGCTTGGAGCAAACGACAGGGGGGATGTCGAGCTCGGACAGGATTTTGCCAGCTGGGGATCGATTGGTCCCTTTGCGAATACAGGCGTGGCGAAGAAGGCACGAGTAGGTGTGGAGTGGCGAAACGAGGCCCAGTGGTCGGGACTGAGGATAAACCAACGAGACTGGCTATGAGAGGACTGAGAGGGCGGGGACAGTAGGTGGATGAAGCTGCATGGAGCAGAGGGAAAAGCACCGCAGCCTTTGTAGACACGATCATTGGCATCTTGTGGGTGTCATGCTTCTTTAGGCGATGAAGGCCTCCAGACGCAGCATCGTGAGTGGTTGACTGCAGCCGCGACACGAGTGCTTGGGAAAGCCTTGGGGTGGCGCCTGTGGAGAGGCGTGCTGTCCACGTCTACTCCGTACTGCAGACGGCAAAGTTCTCAATGCACAAGAGGGCATTCTGTCCTGCTGGCTACTGTACGGTCTTGGGCGGCGGTCAAACGTGGCCGATCGGAGGCAGTGCGATGGCCAGTCCGTCCATGCTGGGGTCCCGGAAGCTTGGGGAGATCAGTGGCACTGCGCTGCTGCTACTGCAGATGCAGCTGCAGCTGCGCCGCCATGCGCATGAAAAACACGGCCGTGGTCCTATGGAATCTCGTCAGAGCCAGGCCGGGCAGGGCGAGGCGACGATTGGGCACGAGGGCTGGCCACGGCGTCTGTTCCTGGCAGTCCAAGCATGTCCATCCCCAGCAGCAGTGGGGCGGCCGAGGGTCCAACGTCTCCGCTTGGCCTCGCCGTTGAAGATGAAAGGCTGTCGTGGTTCCTGAAGGCGCCAAGCGGCGAGGACTAGCCCGAGGGAATGCAGTGGGCGAGGGACTCATTGGCGCGGCCTCATCCTCGCTGCCAGGCTAGCCGTCGTGTGCAATTGGCAGCAGATGGACAGGACGTCTCGGTTGGGGCGGAGTAGCGAAGACGGCCACATGGGCCATGACGGTCTCGTTGATCACGGCCGTTTGTTGTCGTGCCATCAACATCATCATCATCGCCATCGTCACCACCGCTGGCACTATCAAGAGGCGTCGTTGCTGGCGGCCACATCACATGGGCATCCTCCAGTCTCCATCTCCTCCCATGCTCTCATGTCCATGTCCCGGCCGGCACGCGAGACGAGACGAGAGGCAGCTGGGCGTGGTCGCCGAGCTTACGCCCGTTTAGGACGAGGCCATCAGCCACAGCCGGGTGTCGTCTGCTAGAGGCTGTATGCATGTCTGAGACATGTCTTGCCTGTACATGTATGTCTCATTTCTGTCGACTCCGACAGGTCGATGTGTCTGCATGTCTCAGCATTCCGTACGATCTGCGTCGTTAGCTTATCCACCTTCTCCTACTGGATGGCATCGGTGGGCGTCAAAATTTTGCAGGCCATGGAGGGTGAGAGCCAACGGGGTGGTGTGCAGGCTCGTGTGGCATGTGTGCTGCCTGCTAATGAATTAGTTTGCTCGGTATCTGTTCTGTAGCTGGCGAAGGAGTGCGAGTGTGTGTGTCGTATTGATGAATTGAGGGTACTTTACGGAGTAGCTACAGCAGATTAGTGCATTGGCCCAGGTATTACTCCGCACTTTTGCTGCCAGCACCTGAGGCATCGACTCGTCTTGTCACTGCTCTGCTCGCAACTTGCACATGTCAAGCCTCAGTCTCTCTTCATCTGCCCCGCACAGATTCATCTGCCTCCATCTCGCCTCTTCCTGTCATCTTCATGCAATGGCGCCAATTGACAAGTAGTGCTCAGGCCGGTAATCATAGGCCTGTCCTGTCCGCGCACTAAGTACGAATAGTGCGTCCTTGCCCACCCCAGCCTCTGTCTGGATCTGGGAGATGCATCCTTGGACTCAATTGGCGAGCAAACAAAACACCTGCATCCTCGCTCCACGCCTCTCTAGCACACTCTTGCGACCTCGCACGGGCAACAGTCATCCCGTTGCCCGAGAGACACCACCAGCTTGACGCTGGCATCAGCCTGGATATGTGCGGTGGTAGCACTGAATCCTACGCCCGTATCCATTGCTCTCCAGATGAACGCCTAGACGGACAGATGTCGGCCGCTATTCAGGTTTGAGAGATGCTCCTGCATGGGCCTCTGATGCATCTTCCGGCTGCATGTAACCAGCTGGGGAGCATTAGCACTACAAGGTATTGCTGCTAGTAGATCACCGTGCATTTGCGGCCCTATCTGCTTCGTGCTTTTCGACCAGCCCTTCGGCAAAGGGGAAATATTGCTCGCAGAAGTCCAAGTTTTTTTTTTTTCCTTGTCATTTCCGATATTGTCACATAGACCGTTGTTGCACTACAGATGATCCCGGAGGCCAGCCGCAAATTGTCGCACCACCACTATCACACCGCGGATGCAAATACGACCAGGGTCTATCACTCCAAGTGGGCAGCCGGTGAAGGAGGCTCACTTTGTCCACTTTCTCTCCTCAAACGCACGTCCCTCAGCAAGTGTGTGCTCCTACAGACCAGGTACTTTCGAACATGGCCAGGCAGCGATTCGTCAATATTGGAGAAGAAGGCGGCTGCCTCTGCCTTACGATTGGCTACTATTTTTGATTTTCTTCCAATCACTTTACTGGACCCGGCTGAACGCTTTCCGTCCCCTGCTTGCCAGGATACCCCCGATAGCCAGAACGCCTCGTTCTCAACATCACTAGCAACCAAGGAACGTACCCCAGCATGCTAATTACACCATAGAGCTCAGCAATTTAGTTGCTCAACTTGATTATATCGCCATTGCAAAAAGTTCACCAGAATCCTTGAGACGTCGGACAGCTGAGCCTGGCAAGCCCGTCCGCTCGGCAGCTTGCTGTGTTGGGCATCGTGATGACTTCCCGTACTCGTCATGCGGAGCAAAGCCCGGCAGAGCACGGAGCACTTGATCCATGACGGAGCAAATCAAGACGACGCAGTGCAGCAATGACAAGAATAGCAACAGAACAGGTTTTCCCTTCCTCTCTCCCTGCATCCGCACGCCCTGATCCCGAACGCTAAGCATGCGGCAGATGTCGGGTCAGTCATTCTCCAAAAGCCGTGCCTTGACCTGTTTGCCTGTATGCCTTGACCCAACAACTCGGGGTGCACAACGGAGCTGAAAACTGCATATCAATGCATCAATGGCATGGACAGCTAGTGGCGACCCGGATGAGCTGGCCATGTCTATCACTCACCGACCGACTGTTTGTTGGCAGTCCCGCAGAAAGTGTTGCATTTCGTGCACATCTCGAAAACGAAGTCCAAAGTCGGCATCAAGTTGGGACGGAGGCAACCTGCCTGCTAATAATATCGACACGCATTGACATTGACGGTGCTTCGCCACACTTGGCCACACTTGGCCACACTTGGGACAAAGTGAGGCTTGTGACGTGGCACGTCCCGCTGTGGCCGCTCCCGCACTTGGCCTGGTGGGGCTGGTGGCCTGTGGCTGTTGTCAAATCGCCAGATCCACGGCCGGCGCCTTTGCCTTTGCTGACGACACTCTGAAGCGTCATGGCTTGCCATCGTTGCTTTTCTTGGGCCTTCATGACGTGTATCGCTGTGCTCTTTTTTTGCCTTTGTTGCCCGAACATGGATCAATGCATTGCAAGAGTCACTCGGGACCGAGACAAGGTGCTCTGGACTTGGGCTGACACGTTGATTGCCCGTTGTCGGCTTGTCAAGGCATAATGTCGGCATTGTTTACTAACATGGCACATTGCCGAAGAGGCATATTCCCGCCCTTGCTTGTACGAGTATGCTGCTGTAGAAACCACAATTCTCAGAGCATGGCTGGCGAATCAAGTCACGGCCCCTGCCCTTCCAAACCTTCACACCCTATTTGCCATCTATCAATATCAAAGTGCGCAAGACGCCAGGCGAGGACCCCATCTCGCTTTAGCTCAGCAAGGGTTTCGGGCGTGTCATTGGCTCCCGGATTTCAAAGTCTCCAAGTAACGTGACGGGAAGTGCCTCACTCTCCAACGCCGTCCAACCACTCAAGGCCTTGGCCCTTCTGCCTCTTGAGCGCTGAATCATGTCTGCCGACGGGTCTACACGTGGGGAACAAGGCACGGACGTTGGCTCCCCGAGGTGAAATCTCTGCTCTGCTCGTCTCACCTCCAAAACCGACGACCGAGCGAGCCGCTAGATGGGCTCCTCCTTGGTGTGGTTGGGGCGCTTGATTTCCACTGGAAGCAGCTTTTCTTGCTCGAAATGCGGGATTAGCGCGTTGGTCACGACGCCTTCTCACGGCAACTTGAGATGGATCTTTTGTTGGACTTGCTGTTGGTCCATCCGTATGACACATCAAGTCGGTGGCGGCGTTGAAGGGCTGCCTGGACACCGAGTGATTGGCTTCTGTTCTCTGATTGACGCAGCGGCTGATATCTGACTACATGTAAACTGCCTATTCTTTGCACCCCCTCTGCATATTTCTGGCACGATTCTTGTCGCTGTTGGATGTCTCGGACAATCAGCTTAGTCTGTTCTCATGTTGACCAACCGTCCTTTGGCCTGCAGATATCTGATATGAGCCCGGACATACTCAAAAAGAGCTAGAAACGGCGCACTCGGGCTTTCTCCCATCTTGCTCTTAGTGGAAAGTGGTGTTTACCTCCGGGGACGAATCACCATCATATCGACGACACAACCTCACGTCTGTGGCTCAGCTGAGGAGGGACGTAGTCCCGTCATCCCCCCTTTATCCCATTCAATATTCCCGTGTTTTACTCCGTTGTTGCTCCTGACACTTTGATGCTTCCTCCGAGAATATCCATCTTGGTCTGATAGTCTGTCTTGGTCTGATAGCTAGCATCTCTCAGGTCAGAAGCTCACCAACATCTCCTCATCGCTATTGGTCCCCCATCAAACCCACTCCCAGCTGCCAGGGCGACTAGCGACATCCTCTTGCCTGCATGCCCGGCGCGTAAGCTTCCCTCTTATTCAGCCAGACCAAGCCCAGGTGCCATCCAACTGAAACGATGTGGGAATATGATATTTCACAAAAAATCTCTGCAGGCTAGCTTCACGGCTAAGATTGACTTCCCGTACCCGTACTGTACGAAAGTAGTACATAGTATACCACCCTACCCCTGTTTTATATAACGCCATCCAGAACGACTCATCACATTGGAGCAGAGCAGATAAGGGAGGGAAAAAAAAGAGGTGGTGGGTTCAAATGCCGCCGGAGGATCCCTTTTCCCGTGAGGCCATTTTTTTTATTTATTTATTTCGGGGAGCGGGGAGATGTGATAATGTGTGATAGGAGCTAGGATGTGGGCATGGAGCGGAGATCACGGGTTTTAGTATATGTGATTGTGATGGGGTCTTTTCTCTTTGTTACGGATAAGGGAGGAGGATATGTATTTCTGGTAGTCTGTGCGAGAGCATGTGCGTCTTTTCTTTCTTGCTGCATGTGAAAGGGCAGCGTTTCTCGTGAAGTTGTGTGAATGCTTTGGTGATGAGATGAAGCCATCACTGCGGGTTTGTCGAGAGAAGGGCCGTTTATGGATCAAGGGATTTTTGTTCCTTTTCATTTAGGGAGCGTGGCCTTTTCCCAAGCAGAAATGGTGTGCGTATCCAGTGGACGCAGCCAACGTAAACACAACATTCACACGTCGTACAGAGAGAGATCCCAACAGCAGCATCACAGCGAGTTCCAAGATACGAAAGTAGTTCAAAACCCACAACGCCGTTTTAGCCTCTTATTAGAAAAAGCGCTCTCATATGGATATACATTGCCGTTTCATCCCTCCCAAAAAGACGTTCTCATTACAGATGTCATCTCCAAATCTCTTTGTTCTCCCCCCTTTTTCCCCCAATAATCCACAGCAAACATTGCGGCTGATTTTTTTTACGCCGCAGCAAATCTGGCAGCTCGCTTCTCGGCCTTTGCCTTCTCAGCAGGATCCTCTATGATGCTGCTGAACTTGGGCTTGCCCGAAGCCTTGCCGCCCTGGTTCTGATTGCCCTTGTTGCGACCGCTGCGCCTCTCGTTGCCCGAGGGCTCCCTGCGGTCCTGGCTGCGTCGCTTGCCGGGCCTGTTGCCGTCGCCCTCGTTGCGGCCGCGGCCACGCTTCAGCGGCCTCTCGGGCAGCGCAGAGTCGAGCCCGCTGGCCACTTCCTTGTCATCAACGCCAAAGCGCTTCGCACGCTCGGCCAGCTTCTTGGTCTCCTCGTCGAGCTCCGTGCCGAAGCGCTTGGCCCGCTCGACGCGCTTCTTAAGCTCCTCGTCGGCGGTGGTGGACGAGAGGCCGATGGCAAAGGACGGCGCGGGCTCCTTGGCCTCTGCCTCGTCGGCGGCGGGCTTATCGCCGGATTCCTCGGCGGGCTTGGCTTCGTCCTTGTCTGCGGGAGCTTCTGCGGCGGCGGCGGGCTCAGCAGCGGCCTTCTCTGCGGGCTTGGCTGCCTGTTCCTTTGCAGGTTTTGAAGCGGCAGCGGGCTCATCGTCGCTGTAGCTGATTTCGTCCTCCTTGGTCTCGGCTGGGGCGGACTTTGTTAGCGCTCGCTGTCCTTCTAAGTGCTCAACGTAGTCTTCTTGTTTCGCGCGTTCCCGCTCAACGTGATTGTGATTGTAGTCATGATGTACGGCGAAGAAAGGGCGCAGCAGCTACATACCCGGCTTGTCGGCTTTCGACGCCGACGCGGTAGCGGTCTTCTTGTCGTCCTCCTGCAGTCGCGCAATGAGGTCGGCCTTGTTGCCCGTCTGCGACAGCTTCTTTTCCGCCAGGAGCTTCTTCAGCTCCGGCACCTTGAGGGAAGAGTAGTCGGCCATTGTCGAAGAAGAAGAAGAAAAAAAAGGTCTTGATGGGATAGAAAAAGAATGTCGCGCGGTCGCGGTGGCTGGACGAATTGGGGCCGAGGGAGTGGAAGAAGAAGAAAGTCGGTCGTCGGCGAAAACGAAATGAATCGAGGTGAATTGCCGGGAAGCGGCGCGCGAAGAAGAAGAAAAGGGCGATGGGGAAAGAGAGTGAAGAGGGAGGAGAGAGAGAGTCGAGATGGGAAGAGACGCGATCCGGGCCGCTATTCTATTACGGCTGTGGACGAGGCTGGGGGAATCGTGATTTGCACCAGGAATGCGCACGGACCAGTAAGCTTAAAAGAGCTGTGTGAAGCTTAGTACCTGAGTAGTATCAACTTACATCAACGGAACTCTTATTAAAGGCTCTTTGTGCTACGCCGTTACATCTCTTTGATGCCATGAATTACCAATGTATCTATTCTTTGACTCCATTCATTGCATTGGCCCTGATCCGTGCTGTATTTACCATGAAAGCCCAAATGTCGCTGCTTCTCCCCTTTCCATCTCCCCTCGCATCAAGACTTACCCGGCATCTTCCTATATTCCGCCTCATGCCAAGGGAATAGAATCCTTTCAGCCCCCATGGGGTAAATCAAATCATCCATTGAGCAAATAACAACCGCAGCTCTACTCATGCATTGCCGTCCACTTACGCAACACCGTAATATCTCACCAGCAAATGCCATAATATTCTGACGTTGGATTCCCTCACCGCAAAATGCCCGATTTTGCTTTTTCGATCCCTTGGAGCGATGCCTCGCTAGCACGCTAGATCTTGCATTAGTGCCTGGTTCCCTCTGGCGCTGCCGTGTTAGGGGCCCCTCCAGCAAACTTCCAGCAAACTTACAGGGCCCAGAGCTCGCTACAGTTCAGTCGTCCCCCACTGGAAGCCCCGCTGGAGCCAGGCCGTACACAACCCTGGCTGGGGCGACTTGGCTTCGGACCAATTGCGGTGGCTCATCTCGCTGTTCCCGGCATTGACCCCTTGGTTGCTATCGAATTATGGAATTATGGCCTTATCACCAAAAAGTCGACACCCGCAACGAACCAGATATTCGCCAAGCCAGAGCTTCAGCCTCCTCCCTTAAGGCCCCCGGATAGCTGTACGAATAGCTGTACGAATATAGGTGCTTGCTACTGGCTGGCGTGTGCGCGCGGCTGCGGCGAATTGCTGAGGTGGCGTCCGATATACGAAGCCCGACTTGAACACCTCCACGATGCTCGTTTGCATGAAGATGCCATACTAAGCAGACTTTTGCTGCGCGGCGCATCCCCGAGATCCAATCCATACTGTTTGATATCCAGCTCGCAGTCAAGATGACGCGACGTATTGTACGTTGGACTGCTCTGTTTGCCCTAGACTTGGACTTGGACTTCTTGGACTTGGACTTGGATACTGACAAGCTGCTTCCACCAGGTTCGCACGCTCACGCAGCTGGGCGCCGTAGCATTCGTCACCACAATCATCATCTTCTTCCTCGATCGCAACTACAGGGTCCTCCCCAATGCTCTCCACAACTACATGCCCTCCCACCACCCCGGCCTGGTAGTCACCGATGTTACCATCACAACCTGCTCCAGCCTCAAGCCCTTTTCCTCCTGCGAACTGAATCCAACCGACTGGCATCGCATCGAGAAGGAACTATACCTGGGCAAGGCGTGGACATCGCGCGCATACCTACACGTCCGTCGCAAGCACGAAGAGGAGCTGACGGCCGAAGACGAGGTTGTCGTCGGCGTCTCTGTCGGTTCGCTGAACCCTGGTGACGTCGCCAACGAGAGCGAGCACTGGGAACCGCGGCCGGGTGGTATATGGCTGAAGCGCTCTAGAAATAAAAAGTCCAGCGACTCAGATGCTGCAGTGACGGATGTCGATGTCGTCTTTGGCGACGACGCAACGGAGGCGCGCAATGGATGGGGGATTGTCGGACGACCTCTACAACTTGGCACCGGGGGGAGTCTCCTCAGCGCCCATCTGACTGTGCGTAGAGGAGCGCCTCATGAGCTAAAGAAGCCGAAGCCTAGAATCCCCGACAATGGACGGTTTAAGATCATGCAAGTGGGCGACTTGCACCTCAGCACCGGCGTTGGCGAGTGCCGAGATGCTGTTCCAGATGGCTACAAGGGAGGCAAATGCGAGGCTGATCCCAGGACGCTCGATTTCCTTACCAAGATGCTTGACGAAGAGAAGCCTGACCTGGTTATCTTGAGCGGCGACCAGGTTAACGGGGATACGGCCCCCGATGCTCCGTCGGTATGTTGCCCTGTTTGCTTTGTTTCGACTGTGTAGATTTATGAGACATGTGAAGCTAACTCTGGATTTCAGGCCATATACAAGTACGCCTCTCTCCTGATTGAGCGCAAAATACCCTATGCCGCCATCTTTGGCAACCATGACGACGAAAAGTCCATGTCGCGGGAAGCCCAGATGGCCTTGATGGAGACTCTGCCCTACTCCCTATCCCGAGCTGGCCCCGTCGACGTTGACGGCGTCGGTAACTACTACATCGAAGTCTTGGCTCGTGGCCACAACGAACACTCCGCCTTGACCATCTATCTCCTCGACACTCATTCTTACTCCCCTGATGAGCGTCACTACCCTGGTTATGACTGGGTGAAACCTAACCAGATTGACTGGTTCAAGAAGACAAGCGCAAGTCTCAAAAAGAACCATGATGGATACACGCATCGACACATGGACATTGCCTTTATTCACATCCCACTTACCGAATACGCTGACTGGGATAAGCCGCGTGTGGGAGATTGGCGCGAAGGCGTCACCGCACCCGTCTACAACACCGGATTCCACGATGCTCTCGTTGCAGAGGGCATCGTCATGGTCAGCGCCGGACAGTAAGTAACCTACCAAAAAGAAGTCCCCCCTTTCACCGATTTTTCCTTGGTTTGTTAACGCCATGTGCCCCCTTAGTGACCACGTCAACGACTACTGCTCCCTCTCCTCCCACGGCGACGAGACAAAATCCTTCCTGCCGGGCTGGGAAGAGAAACTGCCCCTCAAGTCGGAGAAGAAGCCCGACGACGTCCAAAAGGTGCCCGCCATGTGGATGTGCTACTCCGGCGGCATCGGCTTCGGCGGCTACGCCGGCTACGGCGGATACGTCCGCCGATTGCGCCTCTTCGAGGTCGACACCGAGGAGGCCCGCATTACGACGTGGAAGAGGGTCGAATATGGCGATACCCAGGGCCGTATCGATCAGCAGATTCTTGTGGAGGCTGGAAAGGCGTACTTTGCGCCTCCGCCGCCGCCGCCTCCTTCGGAGGAGCAGCAGCAGCAGCAGCAACAGCAACAGTAAGGACTGTTAGAGTGCGGGGAACTATACATATATACCATTATGGGGATGGAAGAGACTAGCTGGAGAGTGACTACCAAAGAACTCTCTCACTCGTTGGGTACGATGAGTATTATTATCAGTGTTTTGCAGCTCTGCAAGTAATGATTCAGCTTTCTCCCGTATTATTGGATGGATGCGAATTTTTTTTTATATGAATGGCGCTGGAGAGTTGGGCACAGGGTTAGGATGGACATGACTTGGAAAACATTATATATAAACACAAGTCAACCAAGTATATCTACCACATTGCAACTCCATACAAATGGCATCAAAAAGAGTACAACTTCGACTAAGTGGATATGCGAATGAATAAGTGAATTGAATGTATTGCTGAAAAGGAAGGCTTCCTCGCTTGCACCAAAACACCGCTTAGAGGAAATGACACAGTAAACCGCCACACGAAGAACAAATAGTTCCTAAATCCTACCATCCCGCCACACTAACACTACTTCATCGTAAATCATAAAACTTCAAAAACACCTCGCTCAACCCATCGTAGAAACATGACATAAACCAGCCAACACATACCACGGATAAAACAGAAAGATTAGCAGCAGCAACTAGCGCTTGAACAAAAAAAAAGTAACTGCGAGGAAGACGAAAAAAATTGACCGAGACAGGGGTCGAACCTGCAACCTCCTGATGTACTTAATCGTAGTCAGACGCTCTGCCATTGAGCCACACGGCCGGTTTCTTGTTATTGTTTCCGACTCTCAAAATCTCAATTATAGCCGGTGAGACATATGATGGCCTCCCATTTCAAAACTCGAAAGGCTTCGAGACAGAGAATTAACCACTCAGAGAGCGAAGCATTAAAGCGTCCCTCTCCTCTTCATCTCCCTCAATAGCCCCATCAAGGCTAAGACCTTTTCATCCCGACAGTCGTCGAAAAAGGGCTCATTCTCATACATCTCTCGCAACTTGGATCCCGTCTCAACGGCCTCTTCCACACGGTATAGTTCCGTCGCAGACTTCTTAATAGCAAGGACGTCGAGGTAGAGTTTTTCCGCTTCGGCAAAGGCCCGACGACGGGAAGCGTCACGAAGCACGGCCTCTTCTTTGGATCTATTTGAGTGCCCTGCTTGGGTGATGGTATTTATTGAGTTCATTGTCAGACGACGACGGACACGCGAACGAAAAGCTCGTGTGGTGGTATCTGTTTCGGAGGAGAGAATCGAGGCCGTTTCGTCTTCCTCTCCCAGCGCGTGGGCATGCAAGCGACAGCTTAATGCTAGATTCTCCATCGTGGTTGTATAAAGCGGGTGAGCTCTGCCCAGTGACGCAGCCATGATATCCAGAGCTTTTTGATACTTTGTCTTGGCATCTTCGTAGCGACAACGTATATCATCAATGACAGCCAGCTTCTGCATCGCGTGAGCTGTGCTTGGGTGCTCTGCTCCAAGGGTCCTGGTCTTGATCTCGAGTGACTTCTTGTAGAGTGCCTCAGCCTCATCCATAGCGTTGCTAGCCTTGGATACATGGGCAAGCTCATCGAGGGCTTCAACGGTAATGGGGTGGCTCTGTCCAAACATGCTTTGGTAGGAGATGTACACTCGACGATAGAGTGCTTGTGCCTCTTCCATCTTCCCTAGCTGTTCTAGCGTAGATGCGAGCTTTTGCACTGTACTCACAGTCGCCGCATCTGTTGGGCCAAGCTCTGCCTCTTGCCTGTGCTCAATAATTTCGTATTGGTCCTCGACGTCGTCAAAATCACCCAAGGCAGCAGCGGCGGAGGCCTTTGCCAGAGCAACACGGAAACCTAGAGCTTTGTCGATCGATGCCAAGTCAATATTTGTCAAGACTTCGGCACTTCTTTCGTGTTGCCCTGCTTGTTGAAGCAGCGATGCAAGCGATAGGGAGGTTTGGATCCTTTCCCTGGCGTCCATGTGCGATTTCTGGCGCAGTGAAAGTTCGAAGCAGCCAATAGCTTGCTCCAGTGCACCTTGTGTCATGCACACGTTTCCCAATACCTGCCATGCGACGTCGTCATCATCGTGCGCTAGGATGCCGGACCAATCGTCATAACAAGTCTTTGCATGAGGAGCCATGATTCTTCCAAAGTCGTGAATTTCCGGTAGACTCGATGAAGTCGTCTCCTTTTCCCGAATTCCATCTACGCAAATGTTGCAAGCCAGCCATGCATTTTCCTTTTGTTCTTCATTTTTGAGCGTTGCACGCACATAATCGCGGGCCGCAGGATCTAGTATAAATGTTTCAAACGATGTTGTTGAGGAATTCGTGGCTTGCGATGCCGAGGGTGAGCTGGGCGATGAGGTTGCTGACGGTGGTGGAGAATCAGGGGAAGGGGTTTGTATGAAGTTTTGATCAAAGAGATATTGCAAAACATCATCAAGTCGGTTTGCATCTTGAAATGCTGCTTATCAATTAGAATCCATTTACTACGAGAAACACTTTGTATAACGCACCTCTAATTTCTGCAAAGGCATCGGTAAACCGTGCGGGCGTATTCTTTAGTCTTTTGGATGGACTGAACAAGGCAACTGGAATGACTGTGTACGAAAGCATGGCGCTAATACGAAGCACTGTTCTTGTGACGGACGACTGGTCAAGCGTGGAGCCCAATATCCTGAGTGGCATATTGGATGCGAGCTCCTTCTGGTACTGGGAGATGTCGAGTCCTTTCTTACAGATGGTAGAAGCGGCGATGGCTATGCTCTGGGGGTGACATTTGAGCTGCCTTACCAATCTATGAGCTGCTTCGCCTGCATGGGATCGTTAGATGTCTCAATGACTTGAACAAGGAAGTTTAAAATACCTTTAGAATCGGTGTCCAAGGACTCGTCTCCTACTACAGAACGAAGTAGTTCTACTGCTTCTTCGTCTGTCATCGGCCCGATGCGCAGCTTCGTTCCCCATACACAGTTGCTCCTATCCCTTGAAGTCAAGATGATTTTACCAGTAAGTGTGAGTGGAATAAAGTCGGATATATCGAATGATGGTTCAATGTTGTCGAAAATGAGGAGCCACCTGTCATTTTCAGGCCTCATTAACCAGTCTTTGACGGCTCGGACCACCGCCTTCACTCTTAACGTATCCAATTGTTGAATGCTCTTTACCTTGAGCATCTCCGCCACTCCTGCGAGCCCAAGTTCGTTCTCCACTTGAGCTCGAGTAGTATTCTTGGAGTAGTACTCGACCAGGTTATTCGCAAACTCTAGATAACTTGTAACGACTGTCTCCCAACTCTCGGCCCAAATCCAGAAGACGAAGGAAAGTTCATTCTTGTTGATCTCGGCGTAGTCTCTAGCGAGTGTGGTCTTGCCAACTCCAGCATCTCCCCACAGACCAGCGATACTGATATGTAGAGCCTGCCGATCAGAGGACGGCTTGAAGCTAGCTTCGAGCAGTTCAAGCAGACTATTTCTATGTATGATGACGCTCGGATCACCAGGCAGCTTGTATGGAATGTCGAAACCCTCGGATAGGTATTCTAAGTGTTGATCTATATTCTCATTAGTGTTATTGCCATCCGTTATGGAATTACACGCTCACCCGTCACATGATTAAATGCCTTTCGCTTCGTCTCCAAAAGCCCAGAGGATTTGGCGTTATGTATCATGTCGCGGAAGTTTCCTAACAACGTCATGTAGTTTGCATCGCGACCCTCAAATTGGATCAAGCCCGAATGGGTAGCGGACAAGCCAATCTGCACACCATCTGAGCCAGACATGGAATGTCGCTGTTCGACAACAAATTCATGCCCCGTTTGCTTCGTCTCATGAAACGAGAGCTGCGGCAGTGCTGTAATCGCCTTGAACGCCTCCATCTGATTTTCCAACCATTCGATATCATGTGCCTGCATGGATTGTCCGCGAGTATAACTCGGATGGTCATCAAACCCCGACGTCGTCCTTCGAATGACATGCGCAAGCGGCGTGGGGGATAGCGGCCTCCCAGGAGACAATGTCCCCAAAAAGGCAACTCCACAGGTCGACAGCTCAATATCTTTGAGCTCTGCATCTATAGCCTCGCTGGAGATGATGAGCGCGCGTTTGACGATCCATCCTCCTAAGCTATGGGCGATGAAAAACAGTGGCCGGTGATTCGTCCCGTCGCGACTGCGTTGGCTCCCTAGCTCTTTGACCAAGTCCAAGGCCCTGCCGTAGAGCACGTTGCGCACAAGATACCGATAGTTGACTCCATCAGAAATATACCCATACGTCATGATCCTCGCGTTGGGGATATCCTTTGCGAGAAGGTCCTCCAACCAGGATTTGGATTTGCCGCCCTCAAGCGAGATCCATGATTTGAAGCCTTGTCCGCCAAGGCCATGAACGGCCACGATGCTGCGTTTGTAGTCAGCTAGGTGGCATGATAACTACGCACTATAGATCGGTGAAACATACTCTATTTCTGCATCTTCGGTGTCCTGCACAACCTGCAGACCGCTCCCTTCTGAGCTTCCTTGTCGTGTAAAGGCCCCCCGTACGCGATGGAATAAACCCTTAAACGACTCTCGCGAGTCCGCCATTTATGCCAAGTATTGGGTGTCGAGAATATCGTGGTATGATTAATCTCTTCACTGAGCAATTCATGCCCGATAAATTATGATGCGCAGACGTGAAAATCATCAGCTGAAAGAACAAAATGATGGAAGTGTCAAGTTTAGGACTGGCACAAAGGAGCTGAAGGGGAGAGATGACGACCTGAAGGAAGTGTGGCTGGTGCGCAATATAGAGGGTGCTCCTGGTATGGGCATATGGTTATAGTGGCTGAGTGCGCTGGAGGTCAGCAAGCATCTGCCTTTTTTACATGGGCAATATACAATTCTACTTCTGATTCACAGCAAGCCAACATGCAGTGCCATACAAAATAATACCAGCCTTAAGGTTCATGGCCTGTCATAGCCAGGCAGACTCTGGGATGACCTGATGGGTTGTCGTTTTCCATGGTCTGGTTCATGGGACCGAGTGGCGCGAGACTCCATGCCGGTCATAGCCATCCCGTGTTAGCCAACGTACGAGTACCGAAGCCCTTCCAAGCGAGAGTTGGCCGGTGGCAGTGGCGATAACACCTCGACTGAGAATTGGAGAGTGTATTGAAGATGGAGGGCCGTCTGAGGCTGAATGTGCCTGGCAAGATCAAAGTTATACCTCTTTTAAGCGCTTATAGAGCATCAAGTATTGGAGGTTGAGGTTCGGTACTACTACTACTCCTTCTGCTCCTTCTGCTCCTGCTACTCTAACATATCCAATACCAGACCTACCTAGTACCTAGTAAACGAGCACGCGCTCTCTCCGGCCCTTGAATAGCCGCTGCTTCTCTCCAGAGCCTCTCTGACTGGCGTTCATCTATATGTGGCGCAGCGAGCACACACCGAATCACAGGGCGATGCTAGGACCTGTGGCGCAGCCTAAACTTAGTAAAGTGGCGGCCTCACCAGGAACAACAACGTCACATGCCACATTTCAAGGCTGTCAACCATATATGACTGATGCGGCGAAGCTTCCATGGCCTCGGCGATTGCGATAAATCCAATTAGAAATAATGTCTTGAACTGTAATATTCAATAGCTATATAATATTCATATACAAGCTCTAGATTATCTATTTTCTCTACCTCTTTTACCATTGCTACTATCGTTACTAGCTCTGCTAGAGAAAGTAAACAAAGTAGCTGAAATAGCCCTAGTAGATCTCACTACCGCTATTGCTTCTACCTATATCCATTGGCCGTTATACTCTTCTGCTTCCTCTTTTTCCTCCTACAATGTCAACGGCTGCCGTCATAAGCCCACAACTTCATAGCCGCCATCTCCTCCCAATCGGCTCATCTACACATCGTCGCCAAAATAACAACAGCGAGAACACTGCTACAACCACCACCAGCGGTAACAATCGCAACAGCAACGACACAATGCCCCACGCTCACGAGACAAAGCCTCTCTGGCTCATCCAGCCACGCCTCGACGCTGGCGTATATCGCGACAAGCTGATCGGCAGCGTCGTCAAATACCCAGACCTTCCCACCGAACGCCACATCCCCTACCGCACAGGCGCAAAGCTGCCCCGAGACATTGTCGCAGATCTCGACCCCAAGCCCATCCAGGTGCGCAACGTCAAGTTCTGGACCCGGCGCATCAAAGATGCTGGCGTTTCGGCGTCACTCAACGAAATCCTCGAGGCGTTTGTGGACAGGGCCAAGGAGGACAGCAGCGAGAAGATGGCCACGGTAGCGAGGATATGGCACATGGACTCGCCGGGCGAGAAGTTCAAAGAGCTTCTCAAGAACAAGGAATATTTCGAGGAGCTATTCGAGCTACTGCGGAGTAACCACGACCAAGGCTATTTCATCACCGACATTGTAACTTTGACAAACATGGAGATCAGCGATTCAACGGGCCGTTCGTCTGGTGTCGGTGCAACCGTCAAGGTGCCCATCCCGGAACCCACCTTGAACGTTAACATTGGCGCTGGCGGCCATTTCCAAGTAGTCCGCGAGAAGGGCTACTCAGCGTATTATGAGGAGGAGACCATTGTCTTCCTCGGCTATCGTCTCGTGCGGCTCGAGAAGGTTGAGGGAACGAGGGCGAAGTTGGGGCGCCTTTTCCTGGGCCACAAGACCGGCTTTACGGTGCGTGACGGGTTCGACTACTGGCCGGAATTAGTAGAAAGGGCAGTGGAGGGGAATGCAGAGCCCTTTTTATCAGCAGAGACGCCGAAGGAAGAGAAGAAGGAGCTTGGGGAGGAAGAGGAGGCGTATGAGGCGATTGTTGACGAATTGGGGTTTGACTTTGAAGTGGTGGGATAAACTGCACGGTTTTGGCATGGCATTGGCGTTTTGGCATGGGTTCAGGATTTCGTATAATAAATACAGCAGAGAAACTAGGTCTATCTAGAGAAACTAGATCTAAGGAGCTAGATTATGATAATGATTAAATTGGTTGGTTTGTTCTTTACTTGAATATAGGTAAACAAGTATGGGAACTAGGTGCTATAGCTGGATGGCTGTTGGGAGAAGACGACCAATGTATTTGCAATTCAGCTTTCCACTTTGGCAACCTGGAACTAAATTGAACTTGTCCTACATAGTAGCCACAGATATTATATATTTCTTTTAATGGTGTCTGTTCACGTCCGCTAATATCGTGGTAATCGCAAATCAAGCACATTATTTATATGGTTCGGTCCTACGAGACCTCTGTAGACCCGTTTCCTACGTTTTCACAATCCCACTCAGTCACTTTTTGGAAACGTCGATTAACAGACTAATATTATTGAATTCATCCAAAGCGCACTCTGTAAAACTTTCACCCACAACCCTTACCTTTTGCTTTTGTTGTTGGCTCACCCCTGCAATCTTCATCTCTATAGTCAGCTATGGTGGAAGCCAATTGGCCTGTTGCGGGTTTCCTTACCAGGCTGAAACGATGAGTTGTTAGGCGCCAATTCCATGCGCGCTTATTTTGAAGCCCATGGTAAGTAACATTTCAAGGCTGCATCGAAATTGAACCTTGTAGGTGCTCTGCTTAATACCTTTCATCCATTTCAGCACAATGAAGCCGACCTTTCACGAGATCGATCCCGATGGGGATACACTTCTCATCCTCCACAATGCAAACGCACCATTTGCAGAGCTTCCATCCATTTCAACCCCGCAAGAGGAACCGATTGAACCGGCCTCCACTCCAAAAGATGATGCGGCGGACAAGTCGCAGGAACAGGATGAAAGCGAATCGACAGTCCGAATGCGGCTGTCGTCAAAACATCTCATACTAGCCTCTACATATTTCAAGAAGATGGCCGGCAATAACTGGAAAGAAACAACCCCTGAAGCCGGCTATTCGTATGTAATAAACGCCCAAGACTGGGACGAGAACGCCCTGCTTATAGTGATGAGAATCATCCATGGGCGGACCGCAAAGGTGCCTCGACAGCTAAAGCTCGAAACGCTGGCAAAAATAGCTGTGCTGGTTGATTATTACCAATGCCACGAGATAGTTGGCTTCTTTGCCCAGACGTGGCTCACTGAATCATCATTAAGACAGGTTCAAGACGAAGGAAAAAGAAATCTTATGCTCAGACTCGTCGTGAGCATGGTGTTCCCGGAGAATGAAGAGCTCCCCTTTTGGATATTATCGGAGAAAATTATCCAGAAGAGCACAGGGCCCATTGATGCATTAGGCCTGCCAATAAGACAAGACGTTATAGGTAAAGATGTTGAATATTATACTCTATCATGACAGAAACAGCTGACCCTTACCCTTCAGATGCCCTCAATGAGAGACGGGAGAAGGCTATTCTTGGCGTCTTGCATGGATTCCGTATCTTGAAGACGCGCCTCCGTGATGATGAAACATCATGCTCATTCGAGTGCTCCTCAATATACCTGGGTGCTCTGCACAAAGCCACGAAGAAGATGAAGCTTACCAACCCACGCCCAAGCCCGCCATATCGTGGAATCAGCCTGTTTATGCTGGAAGAAGCCATCCGTGGCCTCAGGGAGCCAAGTTGGAAATCCAACTGCCCACGCTTGTTTGCGCCCGCGACATCAACAACACCAACACCCATCATCGCGTCTTTCAGGAGGACTGTAGCACAGGCAGCACAGGCAGCACAAGCGCAAGCACAAGCACAAGCACAAGCACAAGCACAAGCACAAGCACAAGCACAAGCACAAGCACAAGCACAAGCACCAGCACAAGCAGCACCGGCAGCACCACTTCGTCCTCTTTTTGGCGGACCTCTCGGCGGACGTCCCTCAGCTCAAACCACTAATACAACATTTGTATTTCACTCCGCTCCAGCAGCACCTATAAATCCCGTTGTCATACCTCCTTCCTCGTCACCAGCAGAGCTTCCGAAACCCGCCTCGACGCCCTCAATTCTGCCAGCCTGTAATCTTGCTGCGAAAACCAAGCCAATCATTGATGAGCTACTTGCTGGGATACATGGGCTACAGTTGGGGGACTTTGTTAAATTAGAGTTAAATAATACATAGGTAAACAAGTATGGGAACTAGGTGCTATAGCTGGATGGCTGCTGGGAAAAGACCACCTATGTATATGCAATTCAGCCTTGCACTTTGGCAACTGAATGGAATTCACCCTAGATAGTAGCTACAGACATCACATGCTTCTTTTGATGACGCCTAGAGAGGCTAATTAACAACGTGGCAATTGCAAATCGAGCATATTATTTATATTCTGCAGAACGAAAAGTATCCGCAGTGGAGAGATCGGTCGATGAGGCCCATGTAGACCCGTTTCCCACGTTTCCATAATCCCACTCTGTCGGGTCACAATGTTGGACACTCTACTCCGTAGAAGGCGCCGGTTATTAATATGGTATCGAGTTCAGCTGAGGCGCATTCTGCAACATTTCGCTCACGACCCCTCCCTTGTGATTTTGTTGTTGGTTCACCCCTGTCATTCTCCCCCATGGCCAGGTCTTGCAGAAGCCAATTGGCTTGAACGGGCTTCGATAGGATCAATTAATCAATATGAAGCGGTAAAATCCGTTTACGTTTCTCTGCGCACCCCTCCTGCCTGTCCATATTTCCTGGGGTGAGAAATTAAGCGCCCGTACAGCCAAATCGTGGCACCATGCAGCCAATTCAAAGCGGCGCTTATAAGGCTACCATGGCTGCTTTTCGAGGCTGCATCGAAGCTGAGCCCTTTGACATTCTAATCACCTGTTGCCATTATATTGCTATTATCCTAAGCCAGCACAATGGGAATGACTTTTTACGAAATTGACCCCATTGGGGATACACTTCTCATCCTCCACAATGCAAATGCACCATTTGCAGTAGTTCCGGCGCAAGAAGAACGGAGTGAATCGGGCTCGGCTCTAGACGACAAACCAACGGGCGAACCTCAGAATGCAGACAGCAAGCCGAAAGAAGAGGACAGTAAGCCACAGGATGCAGATAGCAAACCAACGTTACAAATGCGACTATCATCGAAGCATCTTGCATTGGCATCCAAGTATTTCCAGAAATTGACAACGAGTAACATGAAGGAGACTACGCCCGAGTATGGCTATTCATTTGTTATAAACGCCAATGACTGGGACGAGAAGGCGCTGCTGGTCTTGATGAATATCATCCATGGGCGGACTACAAAAGTTCCTCGATCAGTTGACCTTGAGATGCTTGCTAAGATAGCCGTTCTGGTCGAATACTACCAATGCCACGAAGCAGTCGAATTTTTTGCCAAGACGTGGCTTGGCCCTTTATCTACGAGTATAATCATCCCGAAAGAGGGGGAAAGAAATTTCATGCTCAGACTCGTCGTATGCTTAGTTTTTTCAGAAAATTTCAACTTCTGGCTGTTAACAAAGACGATTATTTGGGGGAGCAAGAAGCCCATCAATTCGCTCGGCCTGCCAATACAGCAAGACATCATTGGTAAATAAAAAGAAAAAGAAGAAAAGCCAGGGTGCTACCACATGAAAATTAGCTGACCTTTGGTCCTAGATGCCCTCAACAAGTCGCGAGAGGATGCGATTCGTGTCACTATAGCTGATCTCAATGGGTTGAGGAGGCGCCTCTGTCAGGATCAATCGTGCTCATTCGAGTGTTCCTCAATATACTTGGGCGCTCTCGTCAAGGCCATGACCAAGATGCAAGTCATGGATTCTCCCATGGTTAAGCCATACCGCGGCCTCAGCTTGTTGATGCTAGAACAAGCCATCCGTGACATCAAAGAGCCAAGCTGGTTGAGCAACTGCCTGGGCGCTTCTGCATCTGCGAAGGCATCTACAAAGCCTGCGCCAAAAAAGACCAGCAGTCTATTTGGCAATGCCCCTTCCACAGACACAAAGACCCCTCCCGCTCAAGCTGGCACCACTCCGAAAGCCAACGTCGCCTCTTCTTCGTCTGGGGGTCTCTTTGGCAAACTCGCTTCGTCCGGGGGTCTGTTTGACAAACCTGCTTCGTCTGGGGGTCTCTTTGACAAACCTGCTTCGTCTGGGGGTCTCTTTGACAAACCTGCTTCGTCTGGGGGTCTCTTTGACAAACCTGCTTCGTCCGGGGGTCTGTTTGACAAACCCGCTTCGTCTGGGGGTCTTTTTGACAAACCTGCTTCGTCCGGGGGTCTGTTTGACAAACCTGCTTCGTCTGGGGGTCTCTTTGACAAACCTGCTTCGTCTGGGGGTCTCTTTGACAAACCTGCTTCGTCTGGGGGTCTCTTTGACAAACCCGCTTCGTCTGGGGGTCTGTTTGACAAACCCGCTTCGTCTGGGGGTCTCTTTGGCAAATCCGCTCCGGGAGGTCTCTTTGACAAATCTGCAATACTCCCCCGCTGCAATCTTGCTGCGAAGACCAAGCCAATCATCGACGGGCTACTTAAAGACGCCAAAGGTCTAGAGTTCAGCGACTATGTCAAAAAAGAATGAAATATGATTTACCGTGTCGGTTTCCTGGACTTGTAAGGCTTTCATTTCATGGTGCTTTTTACGAAATGGGGGCCTCTAAAGCTGTGTACATGTAGCAATTGTATGGAAGGTTTATTTCAGAGCAGTAGGCTAATTCATAAAGCTCGTTCAATGAAAAGTAGTCCGTGTGTCAAATGACTACCTCCCATCACGCGCGAACAGGCCATGGGAGTAACAGGCGAGCTGATGGCTACTGTTCGCGCCGCCCCTCCTCAAAAAAAAAGGGGGGGGATGACGACTTGGATCAAGAACTATCCCAGGCCCTGACCGAGCGGATCGTCATGGTGTTGCCCGTAGATATCAAAACATAGCTGGGAGTGTGGGCAGTCCGGCGTATGGAGACTAAGTTCAAACATTGGGCCAATGCGGAAGCCATGGAGTAACTCTCAACGACGGGAAAGTGCCTAAATCATGTAACGGGACGTATTCCGGCAACAATAAAGGAACTTCCAGGATTAACCTCCACCAACGGACGAATATGACCACTACGAAGTAGAAAACAAGCAAAGGGGTAAGAGCAGAAAATGGATATAAATAACATACGGGCTTGTGGGAGATCATATGAGATGTTAACGTTGGGAGAGGTGTGTGGAAGTTAGACATCTAGGTTACTGTAGTAAGGGACTAAGAGATATGTAAAAGATAACTTACTATTATTTAACTTTTATAGAGGTAATTACTTAATATATATACCTATATATTAGGTACTGGAGGTTATATAACTTTATATCCCTTTAATAAAAATAGTATAGGTCCCTCTGTATAAAACTAATATAAATGTCTAAGTATAATAGTAGAAAAAAGGTTTTTAGAAGCTAAAGTATATATTAATCTTTTAGTAAAAGCTTACGATTGTTTTTATAAAGGTTTTAATTTCCTTAATTATTTAAGTTAATTTTTATTAATTTACTGCAGTTAGTTAGTAGTTTTTTATTATTTAATAATAGTTTTTTACTATTTAATAATAGTCTTTTACTGCTTAATAATAGTTTATTATAGCTTTTTATTAATTTTTTATTATATAATTTTTAAAATTATTTTAAAGTATTTAGTATATATATATATTTTTATATTTTTTATAAATATTTTTTATAAATTAATTTTATTTTTTTATTATTTAATTAATTTTATTAGTTTATAATATTTAATTATATAAAAGGCTAGGGGATTTCTGTTTAATAAATATATTTAATAATTATATAAAAAATATATTTAATAAGTTAAAGATTAAGGATATTTAGGAAGGTGTGGCTACTATTAGGGTTATAAGCGTTAAGTTAATAACCTTTAGTTATTATATTATTATTTTTTATTATTTATATATAATAAGCTTTTTAATAAATTTAATTAAGGATTTTTCTTTATTTACAGCAGTGACTTTCTTTAAGGTTTATATTAGTTTATTTATAATAGTACTTTTTTAAAGTATTATATTTAAGGTAATTATTTTTAGGGTATTTAACTTTAAGGCGGTTAACGTTAAGGCAGTTATTTTTAAAACTTTTACAGTTATTTTTTAAATATAGATTTTATAATATTTATATATATAGTCTTTAATAATTATTATACTATATTTTACTTATATAGTATTTAAAAACGCTATAGGTATTTTATTTTTAAATAATATATATAAAATAATATATATAATTTAGTAAATATATTTTAGCTTAAAACCTTTTTTTTATATTATTTTATAAAGGCTATAGGATATTAGTGAAGCTTTTAAATTAGCTATTTAAAAGAATTTTCCTTAAGTAATAATATCTATAAAAGTCTAGTAGTTATTTATTAAAAACTATATTATTTATTTATAATATATTTATAAAATATTTATAATATTTTTATAATTTAGTAAATTTAGGGAGAGGTTTATTTTTATTTTTTATTTTTTTAAAATTATAATATTTATAATAGTAAGATACTGGGGTAGCTCTTTAAGTAACATCTGCTTTAGTACTATAGTATTTATTAAGGTTTAATAATAAAAGAGGTTTTAAAAAAGAAAAATAAAAAAAAAGAAAAAAAAAAAATATAAAAAAAGGTTATAATATAAAAATCTAAAATATAAGTAGGGAAAAATAAATAATATAATTAAAAAATAAGGTCTATTGGCTAATAGTTATTAATTAGCTGGTATTAAGATTTACTTATAGGTTAGCAGCTGGTGTATACTGTAATACTATATTAATATTAGCTTTATAAAGCTAATATTACTATAGCTTTATTATATTTATTATTGGTTAAAGAAGTCCTATAATATCTAAGGTATATTTAATTATAGGGTTACCTTTGGTTCTTATATAGTGTTTAAATATCTTAGCTATTTAATTTTATATTCCTTTTTATTATTATTTATTTTCTTTATAATGATTTTTTAAATAATAAATTTATATATTTTATTTATATTTAATAATCCTAGTAGTTCTATTAGTTAAATTAAGCGTAAATATATTTTAAAATATTTAATATTAAACTTATTTTTCTATTTAAGATATTCTAATAAATTTAGTTAATATTTTAATAAACTTATTCTCTTTAAAACTTTAAATAGTCTTACTCAGTAATAGGATAGTTTAGTTTAATTTTATAAATAATACCTAAGTTATCTAAGTTTAATTAGTTTAATATATACTAAATCTCCTTCTATAATATTAAGTAAGTTAATATATCGTCGGTTATAATATATCTTTATCTATACTATAGCTAATTATACTATATTTTATATATTTTTATATATTTATTAATAACTTTTAATATAATTATAAATACTTTTAATAATAGTTAATATTAATAAAAAGTATACTGTTTTTCTTTTATATAGAAGTTTAAAGGCTAAATATATTATTAT